TTCTTGCACAACATCCTGTCTTGTTTGCTGCGACTCAGATATGGGCTGATCGGCTGGAATGTTTGGAGGATGTACATCAAATCCATGTGCAGTGAATTTGGGCAAGCCCGCACTTCGATCAAACAGCATCCACAAATAGGGAATTACATGTTTGAGTTTGGGAACATTCAACTGTTGTCGTCGAAGGTGATGGCTGCGATTGGCTTCAGTCTTCGCAAGGAAATCAACAAGTTCATTCCAGATGTCCCCCGTATGACCTCTTACGTGCGCATATGCAAGCATTGACTGGCCGAGACAGGACTGGAGAGCTTGGAAAGTTCCACGCAATAATTCATGTGTGGGGTGTAGACTGATGAAACCAGAAATTCCAAACGCCTGATCTGCTGTGGTCGTCGAATCAGTTCTGAATACTGTGGGGATGTTGCTGTTCAAGGATAGTCGCCATAAGCCCGCAAAAAGGAGCGCTTCTCTTTCTGAGAACTCAGCCCCAATCTGGTCAGAACCTGCAAAAGCATTGCAACTGTCTTCATAGATGACACATTGGGCTTGCCAACCCAGAAGCGTGAGCGAGCCTGGTTGGTCATGGGTCGAATATTTCTCACCTATGACAGCGAAAGCCCAAGCATCTGGTGTTCCTTGTTCAGCAACTTTCAGTGGTGGTTTGCGGCGTTCACTCGGTTTCGACGATCCATCCGTATAAATGACAAGACGATCAAAACCAGAAACATCAATATCAGCACCTTCAGTCGTGGCCGTGCCATCAGTACCCTGCCTAACAAAATCCGGGAGGTCAAGATGTCGATACCAGGGGCACAGCACGTTGTGGGCTGAATTGAAAAAGGCAACAAGTTCACTGTGAGTAATACCCAAAGCAAGGCAGTGTTCAGGCCTCTCATGTTCGATGTCATCACTCAGGAAGACACACTGATGTCGAATACATGGTTGTGGTGCCGGCCATGGGCTACGTTGCTTAGGATGGTACACAGTGTCTTCGAGTGATGGTCGATTGTTTCGAAAACAAACTTGCATGAGCCCTTTTCGTAAGACACGTGTTGAAATGATAACTGCTCGCAAGAAGTCAAATTGATGCAACGTCTGCATATGCAAAAGCTCACCAATTGATTCTCTAGTGCAATGCAAAATGACCTCTTGGAATTCAGCAACCGTGTCTTGAACTGGACAGTAAATGAGGTGCGTCACATCATTTTCTTGTTTCCAGTCCACAGGGACAATGACCGCCGTTCCTGTGCCTTCCATTGGGTAAGCATGGGTGTTGTGACCAAGCTTCTCAAGTTCATGTTCAATCTCCTGTGCACCATAGCCATCAGGCAGAAAGATCTCGGAAGGCATATCTGAATTGAAATTGAGCTGTTTGAGTTTGACAGGGACAAGGCACGGCTGTTGGCTCGGCTCTGGGACAAGTTCCATCAAACTAAGGACGTGTTTTGTCCGAGCACCACTTCTTTTCTTGGCCGACAACTGCAACATGTTCAAGCCCTGGGCAGCTTGCATTAGTCCAGGCAAAACAACTACTTGACGGTGCACTTGGATGACGATATTGTGGCCAGACCTACCCGGCCAAATGATCCCTGGTGGCAGGTGATGCTCGTCAATCCACACTTGGCAAGGGATATGCATGTTGACATCACTTTCATATCCGCAAGCTTGTGTTACCTGGCCACGTTGGACATGTTCATGTGTCGTGATGACAAGACGGGAAAAATCATCTGGCCTGGACCCAATGAAACTATCAAAGACCGTGACAAGCGATGAAATCCAAGCTTCATGCGGTGCCTGGATTAAGATGACATGTCCAATGGTATTGTGTTCCAGTCTAGGCGGATGCGGGAGCACAAAGTGAAGTTCATGGGGCAGACCTTCAACAAATAAGTCGTGCCAGGCTCTTTCAATGAGTGCCTCCCAGTCAAAATAATTCTGATACAATCTGACAGTCCTGCTAGCAAGACATCTTTCCTGTCCATTTCTGTGATCAACAAACCACGTGATGACATCGGCTGATGTTGCTTCATCTTCCCAGCTAAATGCAATTTGAGTCCACTGCGCGTACATGTCTTGAACAAACTCAGATTGTCCACTGATAAAGATCTGACCAGGTTGAAAAACTGCAGCGTGAATGTCCGGTTGATACGGAGCGCATTCCTGGACTCCAGTTGGGAGGTCAATCGCATGTCCAGTGGTCTGTGAAATGGCTGGGCTGCTTTGCATCAAAGAAAGGTCATCAAAATGGCTCTGCTGCTCTTGTGGGGCATGCGGCAACTGCTCTCGTGAGGGTTCAATGTGCAATCTGACACTGTAACCAGATTCAACTTCAGTTGCAACGACTAGATGCACAGGTTCCCTGTTGTGATACGCTGTGCATCTTCGACCCTCGCAAAAGTGTTCAACTTGCATGAGGTCAATGAGGTCTTGTTTCCGAATAAATCTGGGTGTCGAGAAAGCACCTTGTATGATGGCATCCCTGTTGGGTCCTTCAAGGAGCGTCGTCAAGACCCCTGCTGACATGCCAGGTGGTTTGTGTTGCTCAATCAAGACATGACAGGCATAGTTCTGCAAACGTAGCTGCGGCGGTCTGGGTTTAACAACATGGATTGAGAAAATAGCACGTCGGTCTAACAGATCTCTCCACAGATGTCTGAACTCATCGATCCATGCAACTGCTGCTGGGTCAAGCCTTAGAGGTCTTGGACTTCTGCAAACAGGGTGTCGTTGATGATCAATGTACCAAGTCAAAACATACAAGAAAGCGTCACCATCGATGGTTTCTGCGATCGCTTGTGCAGAGAAAATGTGACCAAGGTCTAAAAGCCAGTCTTCCGTTCCATCATGCTCCGGTCGGAGTCTTCGCATTCTCACGTGAGGGCCTAGCATCATTGGGATGTCGACGTCGTCATCCTGCTCTGTGGACTTGGCTTGACGGCTGTGCTGGCCTTGGTGCGCCGAAGGGCTACTCTCTGTGGGAGCTTCAAGCGACGCAATGGCAACATGATATGCAGCTGGACATTCGAAAGTGGCGACAGCATCATGGAATGCTTGGATGGCTTTGCTGATTTCCCATTGTGGGGACGGCGGTGGCGGTACAATGACACGTATGTACATGCCGTGTTCAATCTGCCTTGGTCCTTGATCCTGCTTGTGCCACAAAGCATGATTCTGGAAAACTAGACAGTCTTGTTCATGCCAGTCACAATACGCAGCCGTGTGTGTGAGATGCAATATGTGTTGTCTGACAAGCGTCGGAACAACTTTGTAAATTGCTCTGGAAACAGCTGGTGCCTTGGGCACATCATGCGTTCTGTCGGGGTCATGCAATTCAACATCAACCAGGATTAGTTTTTCTGTTGAACCTGGCGCAATGTCATGAATGTGTTGCATTATAATGGAGTGGCAGTCATCATGTTGGTCGGCTGGTTCAACCTGCAGATGATGAAAGCACACGAAATCCGTGGGCGGTTGATTGACAACGGCAGCTGCATCAATGAGAGCATGAGCAACCGTATCCCATCTGATTCTGCCGTGCCTTTGCAAATGGCCTAAACGGTGAATATGGACCCCAACAAGCAAATCATTGGTGCTGGCAATGCTTGGCGACGGTTCAACGGAGTCATCATCGAATTGCATGTCATGATCCAAGTGGTCCAAAGAGTCCTGGATGTTTGGCTCATTCGGGACATCGTTCCCTACCGGGGTTTGGGCAATTTGCGTGCTTATCGCAACTGTGAAAGAATCGCCATCAAGCATGTCGTGAACAGGTTCCATGGTGAAAGGAATGTGTTCTCTTCCATGGCGGATTCTGCAGTTGTGCAGGTTACATTCATGCAGTTGTTCAGCAGACTGTACAATCTGGTGTCCACTTGTTCTCTCAGAGAGTGACACGCCTACTGAAAAGGATGCACGTCCTGCACGGTCATCTCTTTGAAGAATTGTCACAAGTCCTGCACGTCTCGGAGCATCGAGACCTTGTGAAAGGATGACATCAAAGAGGATCTCTTGCTGGATGTTAACTGCACGTGGTGGATTTGGTTTCACAATATCGTAAATGACCAGTTCATTAGGAAAAATACGATCTCTCCAAGCTCCAAGAATTTCCTCATGCCAAAACCTCCAATGTCCGTTGAGTTCAATCATCCTAAAATGAAAGCATTGTGGGAAATGGAGGTGGTGAACGAACCAAGTCCTGATGAAAACACTGTCATGGATTCGTGGACCCGTGACCAATCCTTCTTGCTGCAACGCATCAAACAGATTTTGCAGTGCATCAGGGGCCTCATGCAAAAAATGATTGGCATCCTCAGGATCATTTTGATCATGTTCTTGAATATCCTCATTCTGTTGAAACCAGCGCGAAGGAACATTGTGATATTCATCGGTGGTGCGTAGTTCTTTGGCACAGGGTTTGGTGGCATGATCAGTTTTAGATTTGATTGGTTTTTTCTTCCAAGGCTTATCAAACCAAGCTTTGAGGTCATCGATTCCAATTGGGATTGATGCCATTTGCAAATTGTCTTCAAGGCCAATGTGAACTGAAATCTCAGAATCAAATTGAACTCTCTTTTGCTTTGGAATGATCTTTGGGCAATATTCAGATCGAAGGCAACTACGGTGCTCACTACGAGAAAACATAGGAGCTGCATCGTTCGAAGCAATCAAATCTGACCTATTTGGGCTGTGGATAAATGCTTCACTAGGCGATGGAGTGGCAGGCAAAACTGGAGCGTGATTCAAACCCTCATGAAATTCCTCACAGAGAAACTGCCAACGATTTTTCCAAGCACCTAAAACTGCAGCAAAATTGTTCTGAAAATTGGGTTCCCATTGGATGGAATGTTGCCAGTGGAGGAGAGCTTCGGAGTCGTGTGTGGTCAGCAAAGGGTGGCATGCTGCATGTGGCTCTGGCAAGACCACATAGGCATCAGCCAAACTTGCTGTGGCTATGGCGTCATGTAAACCATTGCTATGAACTGGAAATACACCGCCTGCATTCACGACATCTTGCTGTCCGGAAGCGAACCAGTGGGCCGTGATCCCCCAAAGGGCTCTAACGATCGCGGTCGTTTCCGCGCGTTTTCCTCCTCGTCTTCTTTGGTGAGATCTTCCATCACATCCAATTCTTCTGGTACAGTCGGCAACTCTAGACCTAATGACTCGGCACAGGATCTGAGAACCGATTGCAATCGCATCTGCAACTTCTCGTCCACATTGTCCACTTCCTGATTGGCATCTTCCACTTCTGCTGCCATAGGCATCGAAGGCATGGCTGCCAATGAGGCTCCTGGTACAGTGGTGGTCAGCTGCTGAATGCTGGTTTTGTACTGCTCGATGTCTGCTTTGGCTTTGTTCGCAACTTCTTGTAGAGTATTCTGTTGCTTGCGGTAATCCTGCAATTGGGATTGCCATGTTTTGATGGCCTCCGTGATATGTGCAGTCCAACGAGCCTTGTGCTGCTTCTTTGCCTCCAGAGTTTCTGCAAGGGTCTTCTGCGCCTTGCCCATTGCTGTGGTAGCTGAATGCAGCGTCTTTGTGACCGTCTTGGCAGTCTCTTTCTCTAATTTTTCTATGTACTCTTTCACATCTTGCGGCATCGGGTTGCTCTCTGAGTACGCACTTCTGAGCATGGCTGCCACTTCCTGGTTTGGAACTCCAGTCGGTGCAGTTGGCAAAGCCGGCAGCAGGCTGGCCGTTGCCCCTTCTTGCGATGGCCATGGTGGCATTTCCGCCGCTAATGGCGCAAAAGGAGATGGCTGTGGTTTGTCCGCTGGTGGATTCTTTCCTTCTCCACTCTTGGTCTTTTTGCCCTTGGCTTTGCTCTTTCCTCCTTTTCCCTTCGTGCGACTTCTCGGGCTGAATGACCTCGATTGGGATCTGGATTGAGCCCTCTGTCGATTCCAGGCTGCGTCTTCGGCTTCCCAAACTTCCCATGCATGATCGCTGTACGTCTGCTGCTGGGGTTGAGTTCGATGACGCGTGCCTGATGACCAGTGAGAACGGCAAAGTGCACATTCCACTGCTGTCTTTTTGTTGATCCTTTGGCAATTCGAGCACTTCCACGGCCAAAGTTCTTGTGACATCTTGACGTGCTTCTTGATGTGTTTCAAAAACTGGAAGTCTCGCGAATGGTGGCTGGCAAGCCGCTTCACCAACTTCTTCAGGCCGATTTGGTCCAGTGTAACTACACCTGTTCGATGCAGAAACCAGGCTCGCCTGGCGGCACTGCGCTGGCGTCGAAAGCGCCTGCGCTGAGATCCAGTTTGGCACGGAATCTTTGGCAAGGTCAAACGCAATGACAAAGATGAGAAGAATCAAAAGCACTGAGCACATCAATGAATAGTGCCAGTAAATTGTAGCCGGAACCTCCTCAAGGTACAGTTCCTCACAAAATCAAATTGAATATCAAAGTTGAAATTGGCAGTGATCCAAATAGGGGAGGAAATACGCTGAGAAAATCGATCAGCGAAGACCAAGCCCAAATGAAAGCACCTGTAAACAGATGTTAGGTACACCTGCAGAAACCAGGAAAAATCGGAGAAGAAGGGGATGTCAATGCAAATACCAGTGTAAATCGCTGTCAAAGCCCAACTAGGTCCGAAAATTCCACCAAATCAAGTGTTCGGCACACTTGCAGAAGCCAGAAAACAAGGCAGCCAGTGAGGCGATACCCGCGGGCAGTTCCAAAATGCCCGCTCAGGCGATGGCACCCAAAAACCCCTAAAACTGAGCGGCGAGGGGGATTTGGGCCGAGTTGCCTATTATATGTATATATATATATACCAACACAACGTCCTTCAAGCTCATGATTCTCTTTCGAGATATGTAATTGTTACTGTTGGTTCACCCGCATAGTTGGTTAGTTACACGTCATTGGAAACCTCATTCATATCCACTAAAATGCTATATTGCTGATAAGATCGTTCGTTATATTCCATTGGAAAGAAGAAAACACTATATAGTTGATTATATCCCCATCTCCATTATTGTGTGTATACACATATAATTATATATAATTATCAAAAATAAATAATTACATATAATATATGTATATGTCGATAGTGGGATTCTATATAGCCCATTGATATAGTTGACCATGTCCGCATATCTCACTAATCCCATCCTCCGGGTATAAAACACCCCCATGACTTACGATGGCCTATGGGGGGTGTTCCGGTTGTTTAATATGAAAGGGGGACAATATTGTCCCACTAAACTAAAACAACACCGTAGATTATATATATAAGAATATTTTTTCACCCATATCACATATATATATATAATTCTAGTGAGATTAGGTTTGTTTCATCATCACATATCTACACATGTTTCATTAGGAAATTTACACATGTTTGGAACCATAGAATGGAAGTTTGATAGGGGAAAGGGATTCATATCTATTCATAATTATATCTAATCCCACCTATATGGATTATTCATTAATAGCTATAATTATTTTCAATATCCCACCATAGTTGAATTTGTAGTTGATGACATTTGATGACCATTGCTATCCCATTGATATCCATTAGTAGATATTATTGGTTAGTCCCCATTAAACTCCATTGAGTTTTCACTAAATCCCCATGTGTGTTGATGGTTGGATTCCCATTGTATCCCACTATAGTTGACTTTCTGGGGTTGATTCTATAGTCGCTTACTGTTAATATGCCATTCAAATCCCATTCATATCCCGTATGAAGTATATCTCATAGATTTTAAATCCATGTGTCCCATATTTAAAGTCATAGAGTAAAACCCACAATTTCCCTTGGGTTATATATTAATCCAATCAGATTACTTATGTTCCAATTAGATTGTCAATGGATTCCCATTATATTTCCGATATATTCCCATCATTGATGATGGGGATGGGATTATACATTATATATATATATATATTCATCATTCATATCATTAACTTCCATTACGTAAGCATTATATAGTTGACTCTATAGTTGGTTATTATCAATATCCAATTAAGATACCATTCATATCCCATCTTAAATATATCTCAATACTTCTAGATCATCATATCATATTATATCCTTATATCCCATGTTGAGACCATAGATCAAAATCATTGAAACAACCATAGGTTTCCCATGGATTACCCTCTGGTAATGACTAACATGGCTATTGAACATGGCCAATTTATAGTTGATTTACCATGATTTACCGAACTTAGAGATGGATAGATGGTGACTTTCCAGAGGGTATAGTTGATTTATACATTCATCGTGATCAGCGATCTTCGGCCTTGGCATGCTCCGCCTCGGCCGCAGCCTGTTCCGCTTCGAGCGAGGCGGGCTTTTCGCAGGCCGTCACCGTTAAGCTGCCGTCGGCCTTACACCTGCAACGTGGAAGCTGCAGTTTAAAGAGATTTCACCCATGATTTCATGAGATTTCATGAGATTTCATGAGATATGTGTTCTTTTTTTGATTGAAATTTGATTTCTATACCATGTCCAAAGGATTTCTTTTTTTATTCTTTCCGACAACCATTCAGGTTTATTTTAAGCCCGGAAGCCCCCAAGAAGATGCCGAAAATCCGACCAGTTTTCCAAGCTTTCGGCATCTTTTTGGAGGTTGCTATAGAACCATCTAGGGCCGATTTTAAGACTTTTTTGTTGCACAATCATCACCTAAAAAAAAACGGAAGTTTAGACAACAAGAATGCGGACTGGATCAACGAACACAGGGATATTAGCATCATGGGGAATCAAATGGGGATGCATCGGTCAGATTTTACCAATGCGCCGGGATATGAACCACAGTCCTCACTGCGTGTGCATCATGTGGCCAACAATGGCATGTGTTGAACCATAGGTGATGTGAGTCACCTTCCGAACAACCGGCCATCACAAACTCCGAACGGCCAGTGTATCGCTGCAGAACATCACTTCCTTTTTACCCACAATGATGCCAGTAGCAAAGCCTCGATGGTCACTGTTGGTAGCTTCGTAACATCTTCGTAACTATGGTTATATCATGTTATATCATGTTATATCATGTTATATCTTCCATAACCACATACACCATAGAATTCACGAAGTTGCTTTAGCTAGTGAACTTAGCTTCAGTTAACTTAGGCCTCGTCTTTCCAAACCTCTTACAGCCTGAAGGAATGGCACCAGCAGCCCTTAATCGCCTCACTTCCACCCATTGGTTCGCAAAGTCAGCAGCCAATTTCTCAGAGATCTTGGGGTCAAAACCTTAGGACATTGTTTTGACAAATCAAACATGGCAAGCCGACAAAAAAAACATAATTTTAAACGTAATCTGGTTGGTGGTTGAGCCACCAACCCCTCTGAAAAATATGAATTCATCAGTTGGAACGATGACATTCCCAATATATGGAAAAATAAAAAATGTTCCAAACCACCAACCAGGTAATATAAATGTATATCACAGGAAAATGCCTTGTAAATAGCCATCAATGATGTATTGAAAAATGGATGTCCCGTCGCCATCTTTGATCATAAAAGCATATCATCCAATGAACATGCTTGGCAACACCAGCCGACTGAATTAGACTCATTAGACCAAAAAAAGCCAGCATGCAGTCACATATCATGTTGGTTATCCCTATGTTTTTTTCCGACAAGTTCCCAAGATTTAGTCACTTACCCTCTGGTAAACTAACATAGCTATGGAAAATCACCACTTTTAATGGGAAAATCCACTATTTCTATGGCCATTTTCAATAGCTATTTTGACATAACCAGAGGGTAGATCCATCTAAAGCCACATTCTTTCCACGGATTTTCTGGAACGAGGCACATGTACACAGCAAGACGCCAAAGTTTCGAGCGCGCACGGCGCAGTGTGACAGGATATCGGGTGCTTCCTGGTGAGATCATGGCCGGGCCCAGGGTGTCCAGGAAAATTCAGCATCTGCACCAATGGGGACTGAGGATTCAAACTAAAACCATCTGAAAATTTGGGGACTAAGAGGATTCAAAGCTAAAACCTATGTTTTGTTCATCCTTTTCCATGATTTTGATCATGATTTTCTCGTATTTGGGGGAGATGAAATGGAAGAACATCCCACAGCAGCTACCAGCTGGTGTCCAACTTCTCTCAGCCATGCCCATGTAAATTGGATCAGCCTATATCAGCATAAACAGAATATCAAGCGGGCTAGTGTTTGAACATATGTTGCTGAATAAAGATAAACATTGTATAAATTACCATAAATCATCATAGATCATTTGTAAACAACATTCGTCATCTCGTCTAAATGACCAGCAGCACCGTTTCGGTCTGGTTTCGGACATGTTTTCTTGACCGTTTCGGGAAGTCCTTTGCGCTGCGAACCAGAACACCAAGAACGCCATCTGGCACCTGAAAAGTGCCACTGGTGATATGGCTTTACATATTTCCATAATATGGATATATCATGATAAAGCCCATGTTATATATCAATGGTATCAAGATATCATGATATATCATATGGATATCTAATGTACCATATTTCATTATAGAATGGTATCTAAATGGGTAAATCCCATTAATGGTATGTAAGGTCTTTCTATGGGTTTACAGCATTATATATAACACATTATAACATGTTATTTCAATGGGTGTAGTCTAAATCCCCTTAATTTGTAATGGCTATGACGGGGATGATCTTGAATTTGGCAGGCCCTCCTCGGACATGCTCCCAAAGCCACGTTAGATGAGCAAAGGGTCACTGCCAAAGCCAGGAAATCCGCTTCCTTCCAAATGGTCAAGTCAATAGCAACCAAAAACTATAGAAAAACATGTTTCGAAAAGTCAACTGCTAAAGGTCAGGAATCCTTGTCCTTCCTCTATCTGAATTTGAAAGTTACTATTACTATGCTTACCTTTTTTCAAAAAATGGCAGCAGACCCTTCGTCCACGTCGACCTCTTCTTCTCCACTCACAGCACCACTGAGGAGAATCGTTGGCGTATGGAAGACTTCTCCTTGCACTCCAGTCATCTTGTCGATGAGTTGTAAGACGCCCTGGCACGGAAAAATTGTGGAATGATACTGTGGATGGTTGCAAAATCCTGCACCACAAAAAGGATGGTTGAAACCCTATAAATAATGGGATAAACCATTTATCAACTGGTGCAGGATTTTTTCAATCCACAGTAGGGCGTGTAAAACTGCTTGCTTGCTCCCAACCAATTCATCCAAGTCATTAGCCAATTTTACGATTGAAACCCATGGCAACTTGGGGAACCCCTATTTTAGAAAACTTCCTAAATGATGGTTTTGAATTTCAATTTGATGGATTTTCCACTAGTGCAAGGTACGCATGGGGCATCATGGAGCTGTCTTAACATTAGGAACATCGTTTCATCATGCTTCACCCCAGGTTTTCAAGCGTATTTCTTGTCCAGGGTATTCCAAAAACCCGAGAACTCCAATTGATCCCATATTCTTGGTGATATCCCATGGATATCCCATGGATTTCTTGGGATTTCTCCACTTTTTTCATTGGCGCCTTGATAGGCTTGTCGATGGGAGAGATCATTTGCCATGGCGGCCTCGGTATCGACATATACGTAAGATTTGTAGCTGGGTAAGGCTAGGTGTATGTATTTATTATCATTTATTTATCATTTATATATATATATATTTCATTTATCTATTCATTCAATTATTTATTATTTCATCTATATATATATATATACACCTAAGATGCCCATTCATGCCAAAGTACATGATTTTCACAATGTACGGTATACATCAGTATATAAAATGGACCTAAGATTCACAATCTATGGTATATCATCCAATGTATGGTATATCATCAGTATATAACATCTTAGATCCCCATTATATAATATTCAATGGATTGGTATTGTTGGGAAAATCTTAACCGGAAACCATAGATTTTCCCATTTTTTCTATGGGGCTTTCCTATAAATTGTCCCTTTAACCAATCCATTGAAATATGGCAGTGTGTCAAAACCTTGTACCCCTGGTGAACATCAAAATAGCTGGTAAATGGATGTTCATCCCCCTAAAAATGGTATTAATAGGTATTGATCCATACCCATATAGACCTAAGATCCACATTCACCACTTCAGCTTTCCAGGTCGCAAATGTGCGAGGTCGCGCAGCACCGGTTCCATACGCTGCAGGATCAAACTCACGGCCTCTGCGGAAAGCCAGAAACGGCACGCTATGCGACACCTCTATGGCTGTTAAGTACGAGTTATGGTATATCTACAGTATATTAATCTATATGTAATGGCGGGGGTCATAAACCAATCTAGAACTGAGGGGGCCAATACCATGCAAATGCGTTATGTGCATGTACATGTTATGAATAATTACTAATGATTATACGTTTCATGCTAGTATATTGGCAATTGGATAGTTCATTCGTATCCATGATACTGCTGCTAAAACAAGTTTTCGTATTACCTATCAAATATAACTCCATCAGTTATCGTTCTAGTTTATCAATGCTTATCATCCACTATGATCCACTATTCTGTGGTGTGATTTCATAAATTCCATTGAACATATTAAACTCTGGTAAACTAAGATAGCTATTGAATATTGCCCAGTCGAAATAGTGGATTTACCCATTAAACATGGTGGATCTTTCCATAGTTTTTTGTATGTTTACCAGAGGGTAAATCATCATTTTCTGAGTTTTTCCCATCATTTTCCCAGGTTTTCCTAGTTTTTCCCCAGCTTTTCCCATGGTTTTCCCACTTTGAATCTGCGCATCCATTGCGCATCCACTGAGCATCTGACCATCAGCGAGGTGCCGCGAAGAACCTGAATTGCATCGTTCCATAAAGCTACAAGAGATCTAGCAACTCATATGGAGATATCATGGATATATAATATATATAATATGTATATATGGATACATAAATAATAATAATAATAGTAATAATAATAGTAATAATAATAGTACAGTAGTAATAATAATAATGATAATATGGATGTATCACCAGGATATATATGTATATATATATGAAACCAGGATATATAATCAGAAGAGTAGCCATAACTCGCTAGTGTTCCTTTTTTTGGCAAGTATGGGATCAAGCCAGCTGTACGATGAAGGGATCTCCTGCATCTTGGTCAACTTCCCAAAATTCAGCAAGGACCAGCTATACGAATCAGGACAGGGATGCACCATTGAATTGTATCAATAGGGAAATGAAACCCCTCTGAAAATCGATGTCATTGAGATGGGTAGGGATGGGATCACCCTATTGACTGTTGACTCTCAAGTCTCTTTCGCAGCTACTTTCGCGCCCGCTTTCGCGGCCTTTTTTTTTGACTTTCGCGAAAGAAGCAGAGTTAACAATTTGCATAAATCCTTTCCTGGAGGTTTTTGACTTGAAGCTGCTCATTTTGGGAACCAGCAACCAAACATAGTCATGCATGTTTCCAACTAATTCACCAGCAACTTTTAGTTCGTAGCTAATGGATGCTAATGGGGTTTTGCAACAACCTACTTACATCTTACATGTTCAAAGCATTGCCTTATACACAAACAACAGCAGAGCTTTAAAATCACTTGCGGCAATACAGTGGTTGTTTGGAACCACAAAGGGTCATACATCACGTCCATGGGAATACCTTCGAGGAATCCAGGTCTGACAGGAAAACAATCCCAGTGCCGGTGTTTTAAGAGTTCGCCACGGGAAATTACAAATTTCTAGATGATTGACCTATTATTTCCATGGCCATATTCGATCCAGTCATCCAGCATGTCATCGTCTGCATGATGTAATTGCTGCTAGAGTGGGATATGCAATGGCAACCAACGTCATCCTGGTTGAGGCATGTCATGATCTCCAGCTTTATCCTTGAACACAACCACAATGTGACAACGTACAGTATTGTTCACGAATTCGAGCAGCAATAAACATTGGCTAGCGGCTAGTCCCCATCGCCTCTAACTGTACATCAACATAAGCAAAAACTGAATTGATCTGTAGATGATGTTTTTTTTTTAAGATCACTCCTCTAAACGTTGATATCATTAGTAGTGCTTGAGCTTCCATTTTTGGTGGTTGTGATCCTCCATCAAACAACCCTGGCAATGACTCCAAGGCCGGTTCACATCTGGTTTGCCCCATGTGGATGAACACAACAATCATTCGTTCAACAACAATATATCTTCCCAGTCTCAGAAAGAGACGATGCCCCATGCAGCACCTATAGAATCTATGTGTATGTATGTATGCTATAAATATATATCTATATATATATATAGTCTTCCTTGAGTAGATAAAATACATTTTTAAAATAAACAATAAAAACAACTCAGTAAAATGGACATATGTTAAAAACAAAAAACATGTTGTATCTACTTCAGGATGGTTATATATATATATATTATATCAGATTTATCCCTTTAATATCCCGTTCATGTATATTATATATATATAAGTATCTCATTCCATTAAATCACCATGAAAAAAACCCAAAACGTCATACATCCCCAACGTTTTTCAAGGCCTCGTCCACAAAGACATCAATGTTCTTCTTGGGTGCATCAATGGCGGTTCCCAGGAAAGCGGCCTTCGGACCTCGAAACGCACCAGGAATCTGGGGATGATTGCCCTAATCATCGGTGTAAATTGATTTTAATTTGATGAATTTTGATGAATAGTGATTAATAATTGATTGATTAATATTTTATTAATATTGATAATTGAATATTCCTTGTAACTTTAATATGATTGATTTTATTACTATATATGTTGCGTCACGTAAGTATACATACTGAAAATGAAATGTTTGAACATACCCTTCGGTGATGTATCGAACATGGTGATGAAAAGTCCTCCAGTTATAGATTCTCTATGTTTCGATTCAAACCTTCAGTCATAGGGGATTTCCCGTTGCCATGTTTGATTTCCGGGTCAAAACTTAGGCGCCAGCCCATCATGGTCTGGCACTTGTCACTCAACTCCCCCACCACACGACTGGTGCGATCGCACAAGGCCTCCACGATGGGAGCCGATGGGCTCAGCCGATGATCCAATGAGGCTACTAGCAACTGAAGGCAAAAGCCTAACACCAAGGCATCCAAATGATGAAATATGATGAAAGGGCTAGTTGCTTTGGCTATAGACCCATTTCAATATGTATATATATATATACGTATGATATATTGTGATATATATTGATATATTATATCTGGTAGGGGAATCATTGAAAGGAGTGCTTCCCGAACATTTGGAACTCCAAAGTCCAGGATTTCTCTATGTCTACAAGCATGGACCATTGTGCAAGAGTAGTGTAGAGATGTTTCTGGTCCCAAGTTGAAGAAGCAAAATTCAGCGAAGTTGCCATTAAACTCATTAAACATCATTAAACCAACAAATCATCAATGCGTATGGCTAGCGGCTAGACCTAGGGCGGATTTCTCGTTGTTTTCCGGTGATTCTCATCAACCATGCATCCTCCCCGTTGTTTTCCGGCACCTTCAGCAGCAAGGCGCTCTCCTCAGGGGAATTCCAGCGTTTCTGCGAGCAGCTGTCGGAAAAGGTGGTCCAATCCGCCAGCAACGCTTGCAACTCATCCTCCTGAGAGTTGCGATTCAGAAATGATCAAAAGCCTCCTAGTCGTTCCAGGGGAGTGGCAGTATATATATATATATTTCTATATATATATATATTATATTATATATTATATATATTTCTATATATTATATATATATTATATATATATCTATTGTGGGCTCTTCCTAAAGACGTCTTCATGTGGTGCACAATCTTTACCCGAAACTCTCATCCAATTGAGGTATTTCTAAAGTATTTCAGAGGTGTTTTTTCCAAACCCCTATTGAGTTTGCCAATGGTTTTGTTCTGGGTTCCGAGTGCATTCGTCACCCCTACCACATAAAGCTAATATTGACAACCCAATATCCTACATCCTACATATTCTAGTCAAATGGCTTATAGGGTCAACTTTGTTGTACCCCAAACATCTCAAAACTTGATGGTTCCAACAAAAATGATCAAGCTACCTGTGCCCCTGCATTCTTCACTGACTTGACAATCAAATATTCAAATCATTGTGCAGTTTCACCATGTTGGTTGCGCAAATCCGCTATTTTCTCTGATGAAATCCCAGCCAAAAAAGGGCTACCCCGTGGTGCTTTAATTAACGCCACGGAAAATGACCCAGAACACGCTGAGAAACTGGTGACTTCTCAGAGCAAACTTCACCTCTCCATGAAAATTGTGGATTCACATAGTTCATCATCCTCCCATGGAGCTAAAGAGTACTAAAATGTTTCAGAGCGCATTTGAGTTCAATCCTAGCTTCATTCACTATAGGGTACACTCACATAGATCTGGAAAACCATGGAAAACAACCCATGGAACACGATCGGAAACCAATGGAAAAACAATGGAAAACCATGGAACACCACATGGAAAACCCGTGGAAAACGTATGGAAAACGTATGGAAAACCATTGAAAACCACGGAAAACCAATGGAAAACCTGAAAAAACATGGAAAACCTATGGAAAACCATGGAGAAAAGCATGGGAAACCCTATGGTTTCTCAAGCCCTACCAGGTCCTGTGGCAGGTGTCCCACCAATGCCGTCAACAAGGCCCGCAGCTGTCCGCAGAGCTGCGGCAAACGCGTCTCGGAGGTTAAGCCCTGGACCAAAACACTCCTCCAAGTGGTGTCAGAAGCGATGTTCAACCAGAAAATGGTGGTTTTGCCATGAAACATGTGGATTTCAATAGGAACAGTCTTTAATTTTGAGAATCAACAAATGGATTTTAGCATGGGATTTTAGTCCTTGGGTGATTTGGGTTGCTTTCAGGAAGGAACATATATGGATATATATGGCAAATATGGACACCTACAGGATTTTCAGCAGCAACAATGGAGGTTTATCCAACAAGAATGGGGTTTGAAGCATCAACGATGGGGTTGAGGAACGCACCACCGCTTAATTGGGATTTAAGCAACAATGATAGGGATATTACAGGGATTTGATCATTCCCCCTTCCATATTATGAAACTTTACAGGCTTTGACCCCTCACCACGTTTTGCCTTGGTATGCCTTGGTTTAATCACTGATTTTTCAGATAAAATCACCATGTGTGTTGCTGAAAAAAACATCTGTTTGTCTCATAATCATATCTTCATGGGATGTGAACCCCAAATCTGTTGGTACCAAGCCAACCAAACGTAGGTAATACATGGTAATACTTGTTGGTGCAGTTCCACTATGTTATACGCCCTTAGTTGTAAGGCGGCTCTCAGGCCACCCAAGTTGCAGGGTCCCGGCCCCATTTCGATGGCCGATCAAGTTGCTGTTGCGTCTCCAAGGTGTAGTCGATGACAAGCAGTTGTTTGATCACCGAGGGGTCCGTCCCCTCGTCCGCTGAGTCAGCTGAGAGGAGAGAAACACGAGGCCAACGTCCGAATTGCAATACTGTCTGGTTGGTGGTTTTGAACCTCTCTGAAAAATATGAAAGTCAATGGGAAGGATGATCCCATATATCATGGAAAATAAAACATGTTCCAAACCACCAAGCAGATATGGATCCTATACTGTCTATACTGTGTCGGTGACTTACGTCAAGAGTCATTGGAGCTGGAAATTTCTGTGTTTTCCATCTGGGGATCACTACGTCAAGCATTGTTTCAAGATGACTAACACCTTCCCCACGGGGCGACTTTTCCCGATATCATGCCGGCCATGCCAAAGTTGGTTTGCAGCTCACGTGGCCCACCCAAAGCCAATCTATTCTACAATTCTGGTTCTTCAGCAAAGTCGAGAAAAGCATATTTGGTAAGTCGGTAACCACGTCTTCAAATTCAAACTTCATTAGTCATTTAAATCTGATTGGTGGTTTCAACCCCTCTGAAAAATATTAGTCACTTGGGATGATTATTCCCAATATATGGAAAAATAAAAGTCATGTTCCAAACCACCAACCAGATAGTCATTTAAATCATTTGGTGACTCAAAACCATGCTACCTAACGGAACCCAACGGTACCCATTAGGGTACCCCTCTAGCTACCCTAAATTCCCAGCTCCAGCTCGCCTTGTTGTTGAGGATAGCCAGCAACTCATCACGTCCCGATGAGATCTTCATGAACTTGCCATGGCCTATGGGCATCAAACGTGGGTCTATGTCATGGAAAAAAAAAGGTACAATGTCTACATCAATTTGCGCAAACTATGTATATATATATATATGTATATATATATATATATGTCAAGTTACGATTAATAATCCCCGCGGTATTAATCAACCCCCTCTGCCCAAAAATAAAAAGTAATTTAAAAAAAGGTGGTCCCCCAGGATTAATAAACCCCCCGGATTAAAAAACCACCAGTGCTGAAATCAATTTTTTATCCAACAATTTTTATTTCCAATTCTATTTATTTCCAATTTGTTTTTACCTTTTTTAAATCATCATTGTTATACTTAAGGTTTAAGTTGATCATTGAAAATTTAAAAAAACGACTATTCCCCAAATGATCGATTTCTAATTAAAATCTTTATAAAAATCATCAGTTTGGATAGCTCCCAAAGGGTACCCCCCATGAGCCCATGTCCCCCATTAATAATAACCAGGGTTTGCCCCTGATTAATCAACCACCTTTCTGATCCATGAGATTTTAACAAATCCAATAGAATTCTATTAAGATGTAATTGACGTAAGCCATATCCAAATTTTTATGGTTCAGAGTTGCTTATTTATTAAGGGGTGGTCGAGAAACTCGCCAGAAGGTACCCCCCTACCTACCTGGTGGGGGGGGGTGATTAATCCGATGTTGCCATTATATATAAACACATATTATTATATAATATCATAATATATCATCATCTTATATTATCTATGTCGAACATGAATTGGGGCTGAGGTATCTTTTCGCAAGCAAAGAGTTTGGCAGTAGAAATTGTGCAACTCCGCAAAGATCTCAGAGTTTCCACTCCAGTATTTTTAGTGAACTATCAACCACTCAAGTGGTTTTTCGCAAATATGAAACCAGGCCATCTGACACCAGCCTTCATCCAGGTTGTTGAAACCAGTTCCGCCCATGTTGCAGATGTCCTGAAGTTTTCCTGGCCGAATCTGGGCTGATCTGAGATCGCCTGTTTCATGCCATGGATCCGCCATGGCATACCCCTAGGGAAACTGGAAAACGACAGCTGGAGCTGTAACAAAAACGACCTAACCAAGTCACTGAACCTTCCCAGACTCCATCCTAACCCAAAAATGAGGCTACCTTTGATATTGGATATGTCCATTTTGATTCATGGAGTTGCTTTTTCTCAACCATGTTTTGTTCCCCAACATGTTCAAACAAACCCAATTGATAGGGTTCATAACAAGAAGGCGACTGTTTGAAACTAGAGTTGCATACTCAGAATGTCAGAGTATCAACATATCGACGTTCCCATAGTTTTCCCAACACCTTCATATCCACAAAATCTAGTTTCACTCATTTGCATGGTTTCCCCCATGTATATATGTTTCTGAAATAGGGTAATTACCCCCAAATCATCCAATTTATATGGGATTCTCCATGAAATAAACATCAATAAACCATCCAGCGAGCTTGGGGTGCCAATAGTTTAGGAAAGCCTCATATGGGGGTCAAAACCCATTATCACCATATTACCATGGGAAAAATCATCCATAAACATCCATTCACCAACGTTCGGATCTCGGGACGCCTTGCACATGGCCCGGCAGGCAGCCCTTCGCATGGTCCAAGGCCAACTGCAGGTCCAAGGCGTCGTGGACGTTGCGCAGGATCGCCAAATACCTCGGTGGGATTCATCCACTTAGAACTAGGCTTATAACTAGCTGTAAGCTACTTACTAAGTGGGATGAACCACCAGGTATGTATATATGATATATGATTGTATATGATTATGTATATATACATATATATATATACATACATACATACATATATTCCGATTTGCAATTATGGATATATACGTGGTATAATTCTTGATCTTTACGTAATTGGTATAGATCCCACTTTGTGAATCAAGAAACAAATCAACAAAAGTACCAATCCACGGGTGACCAGTTGACTTCTTGAAGGATCTTGAAGGTGTGTTTTTTTTTCCCCCAAACAACGTGGCTTTAGGCTGGAGATCTCTTGGGTTGTACAAGTGACCCACTCACACTCTGGTGGCAAAAAATCGGTCTCTGGTAGTAGGCCAGTCAATTTGAGGTGCGGGTGAATGACCCACTGCGCCTTTAGGATAGGGTAATCCTCATATTTGGAGATGCTGAATATGGCTGTGAATCAGATTTTCCACTGAGACCTGAGATGTGAAATGTGCGTTGATCGATGGTGAAATTGGCTTGTAAACATCTTGATCCATCCATTAAACTGACAGTCAATCACAAGAATTACTGTCAAAACATCTTGCAGGACTTGCTCAGGCTGGTCTTCACCTACGACGACCCTGAGACTGGTCCTTGGGAAGCCATCGTTTGGGGGCTTGGGTTTATGCAACCGACAGAAGTCATGGCATCTGTGGGTCAAACCCGATCAACCATGTCAATCCATGCCATCTGCTGGGCACTTTTACACTGCGAATTGAAGGGCGACATTGCCCCAACTACAAACATCCAACTGCAACTGCAGAGCTATCCCCACCACAAAGTGGATCGCCCCACGTCACAACCGAACCATCCGCCAGGATCGCGGCAAATGCCCTCGAAGTTGCTTGAACCTGCTGGACACCTTTCAGCTGTTCCTGGACTTTGGAGCTGTCACCACCATGAGGTTGAAGGCCCCAAGTCACAACGGACCCATCTGCCAGGATTGCAGCAAATGCACCTGAAGTTGCTTGAACCTGTTGGACACCTTTCAGCTGATCTTGGACTTTGGAGCTGTCACCACCATGAGGTTGAAGGCCCCAAGTCACAACGGACCCATCTGCCAAGATTGCAGCAAATGCACCTGAAGTTGCATGAACCTGCTGAACACCTTTCAGCTGATCTTGGACTTTGGAGCTGTCACCACCATGAGGTTGAAGGCCCCAAGTCACAACGGACCCATCTGCCAAGATTGCAGCAAATGCACCTGAAGTTGCTTGAACCTGCTGGACACCTTTCAGCTGATCTTGGACTTTGGAGCTGTCACCGCCATGAGGTTGAAGGCCCCAAGTCACAACGGACCCATCTGCCAAGATTGCAGCAAATGCACCTGAAGTTGCTTGAACCTGCTGGACACCTTTCAGCTGATCTTGGACTTTGGAGCTGTCACCACCATGAGGTTGAAGGCCCCAAGTCACAACGGACCCATCTGCCAAGATTGCAGCAAATGCACCTGAAGTTGCTTGAACCTGCTGGACACCTTTCAGCTGATCTTGGACTTTGGAGCTGTCACCACCATGAGGTTGAAGGCCCCAAGTCACAACGGACCCATCTGCCAAGATTGCAGCAAATGCACCTGAAGTTGCTTGAACCTGTTGGACACCTTTCAGCTGTTCCTGGACTTCAGAGCTGTCACCACCGTGAGCTGGATTGCCCCAAGTCACAACGGACCCATCCGCCAGGATCGCAGCAAATGCACAGGATTTCTGGGCCAGAACCCTCAAGTCCTCTACTTTGGAGGACTGTGGAATCGAAAACTGTGCACTGCGACCGCTTGGGACAGCTACGGTGACTTGAAGCATGTGATCTTTCCAATTGACTTGAGCCAAAATGCACCAAAAAATCGTCCCCAAAGCTATCAGCAAAGCCCCATGATTTGTCCCTGTCCTCTCTTAACTGGTGGTGATCTCTTGGCTATTGCCGATTCTATGGCCAGTTTTCATTGTAAATTGTAAGATCAACCTTCAGCCCAACATTTTCTGCAGATGGATGAATCGTAAAATAGACTACTTCAAAATCTCTTGATTGGTCATCATTTTGAGCTATTTGATGGCATGGCCATAAACCAAAAAAAACCGGTTCCCATCTGATCTACCAGTTACCTCTCGAAGTCGTTGATGAGGCGTCCCACATCGGTTTGAACCATGTAGGGTTCGGTGGTAATGGGTCGACTGTAGGAAGTCAGATGTTCCTGACACCAAAGCAGTGGGCACAGGGTGGTGCCGCAGTTTGTTTGCTCAGGTGGTACATAACAAAGGGAAATTAAGCAGCAAAATTCAAGATTCAACCAACAAGCATTGACATGTTTTCTTTTAGCTAAGTTGGCAAAACCAGTTATAAGTTAAATGTTGGGTGCTTCCGTCTTACAAGCGCACGATCGCCGTAATTATCAGCTGAGCATGAGCCGGACTGTCAATTGGATCATGATCCCACTCCAAATTCAGATTCTCTTTTGGCCATCAATAATCTTGATATATCTTGATATATATATATACATATCTTGATGTATATATATACATATCTTGATGTATATATATATATATTGATATATATATATATATATATCGATATATATATATTGATATATATATATTGATATATTGATATATCTTTTGATACATATTCTGATATATACATATTCTGATCTGATATATACATATTCTGATCTGATATATATATATATATATATATATATATCTTGATATGTATCTGGATATATATCTTGATAGTGCTTTTCTGATCCATTGGAATTGGAAGCTATTCCCATCTATTCCCATCTATTCCCATCACGATATAAGGCCGCCTTGGTGATGCCATGCTCTCCAAGCACTCTCCAGTAAGAGCCCATGTCACCACCACCGCGCAGGTACGCAATGATGGCTCGGCAAATGCCGATGTCTGCAGGGGTGGTGTTGTTGTGTAACTTCTGATGCCACTGTTCCTTGGGACGAGCCGGGACGAGCACTGGGTCTGAACTGGACCGTGGGATGGGAATAAGCTAACTTGGGATCCCAACTGATGGGGATAAGAACTATGATTCATATTAGTTTACCCCACTGATAATACATATAAGTATAGTTATATAATGTTATATACATAACTAGGGTATAACTATGATAAGTATATCATATATATATATATATAACACTGAGTTTGGTGGAATGCACCCCCTAATACGGGATGATTTTTTTCGACTCACCAAGTAGATTGCAGTCCAAGGTGCATAGTAGGTCCCATGGATCTCCTGCCAAACTCTGAGCATCCCGCAGGGCATTTCTACAGATAACTTCTGCCAGTTTGAACAGGATGGTCAGTCAATTCATTCCTGTATACCCTCTGGTAAACTAATATAACTATGGAAAATCACCATTTTTCATGGGTACTGTAAATTATAAATTGCCATTTTCAATAGCTATGTTAGATTGCCAGAGGGTATCATGTGCAACATTTTGGGTTGGTTGTTTTACTCATAGCCAACCTTAGATACGCTGCAAACAACCTACCCTTCACATGCACCGGTGGCTTCTGTCCCCTCCTCATTGATATTTACATGATTCAAATGTCTGAGAAACCAATCATTATGTCAAATATTGAAACCCGATAACTACATATATTCGTATACCATCTATGAAGGCAAAACTGTTTAAAACCATACGACGCCGTGTGTATAATATATATATATATAATCATACACATACAAACCTTAAAGTTGTATATAGCTACTTACACACATCATGGACATGGATTTTTTTGATATGTCAACTAGCGGTTTTTCTTTCCCTGTCCTTGATGTTGTGCGCGTGCATAATCACCAGGATTTCATCGCGGATCTGCTGCCCCGCAGAGCCTCCACGTCCCATGGTGGATAGGGTCCAGCGTATCCACAAGCGACAGCTGGCCGTAGACTTCCAGAGTTCGGCCTGCGTTGAAACCACGGGATGGATGGCGGTTTCATGGGAAAAACATGGAAAAAGCCAGTGATTGACATGGAGACATTTGGTGATTGACACTGATAAAAATCATCTGGTTTAATCATATTATATTTATCCCAGATTTCCCAATAAATCCCAATGATATCCCATGATATCCCAATCCCAATGATATCCTCATGTTAACATCTCCAAAACACGATGTTGGTGACCTCAGCCGCCGAGCCACTAGGCGTTGCGTGATCTGGTTGGTGGTGGCCGCCAACATCCGCGGCTGCGTGCAGGTGTTGCGTTCCCAGGTCAGGAGCTGCTGGAAGGAAAAGCGCTGCCAGACGAAGATCCAACTCCAGAACTCTTCGTTGGTCCTCAGGCTGGATGGCTATCGAAAAAATGTGTTGCTGGTTGATATTGCCACTACTTGATCCGATGTAAAAAGACTGGAAACATCCTGCCATCCCTGAATCCATGCTTTTTGCCACCGAAGTCCCATGGTCTATCAATGTCTATCATTTACTAGCACTGTACTTAAGTCACATCAGGCGGGAAAAGTCACATCATCCCCATGGCACGGCGGCGATACAGAAAAGTCACATCAGGTAGTGGAAAGTCACATCAGGGAAGAAAAATCACCATGGCACAGCCTGTTTCATCTATACTTGGAAATTTAGTTAAAAGTAGCCGAAGCATTGCGCACAGGGATGATTTTGGAGGGCACAAGTTAATACAAACAAATTCTCGGCAGCTAATCCTATTGGATTTGAATATATTATATTGATGTCCTGCGTCGCGTGACCAAATCAAACCCCTATTGGTACAGCCTCAAATTTCTTGCAATGCAAATGGGTTAGCCGTAGCAAATCCTATTGGCAGGGCTATGATCTAGGATGATATAAGGATATGGGGGCCCCTTGTTTTCCGCAACCAAATCTATGGCTGGCGCGATGAGCAGCAGGTGGGCAGCAGGTGGTAGGCAGCAGCAAGCAGCAGCAAGCAGCAAGCAAGCAGCAACCAGCGTTTGCCCCCTTGAAAGAATAATCGAATACAAGTTTACAAAAATCAACGCAATACAAAAATTGAACTTGTTCCATGCGCACGGAGCCAAAACAATGACATCGTTCAATTACTAAAAGTTGTGGTGATGCCAAACTTGAACTTTCTCCAGGCGCACGGCCTCCCGATATGACTTTTACAAGCTGATACGACTTAACTAACGCTAGCGCTAGTACCTATTAATGTTTAGGACCAGGAGATCGTCTTGAGACTGGCAGCCACATCCGACCTCTCGGACTGGTACGATCGGATCACAAAAAACCCGTGGTTTCTCCGTGGTTTTTTGACCAATGTCTCGATGCGCCAGGTTTCTCCTCTTCATTTGACATCTCAATCAATGGCATCGAGGGCATTCGCGACCACACCGCCTCCGTTGAATGGACAAGTCAAGTCATGGCTGATGGCTGTCATTCTGATCTATAAATATGTTCAAGGATGTGTAAGGGATAATAACAAATTGATTTCCGGTCATCAAACGTGGCAATGGAAAATCCCTTATACATGGAGGTTTTAATGGTAAAAGCCCTCTCATCAATGGTGGATTTACCAGCAAACCATGTTTGGAGGGGTACAACACATGGTCTGACCACCACAGGTGCATCCTGCGGACCTTGCTGGAGTCCACCTGCACCAAAGTGGTCCAGGACGCCAACCGTCGCATCTGAAGCCCCTGCGAGTTCTTCTCCCATTGATCCAGGAAATCCAAGCAGTTCTCGTATCTCCTGGGACCGCTGTCGAGGGCCACCATGGGGCCCGCTGTCGAGATTCGCCAATGGAACATGGCATCCGAGAAAACCACAGAAAAAAAAATAAAATAGGGAACCGAAATGCAGATCGAACATCATCAAACATCATTAAACATCATTGAACATCATTGAACATCATTAAACACCATTAAAGCATATTAAAACACCATTAAACACATAATATATATATATATATAATAAGCATGGTAAGAATGACCTCGCTCAACTCACCTTTGCCTCGTCACATCAACCGACGGTGGCTCCTCTTCAGGGACATTTGGTTCCAGGTGGTCTCCTGTTCCACGATTTTGTCCGCCACCTCGCACGACACGAGATGGAGGGAGCCGCCCATGAAAATTGGCTAACAGACTCTGATGGGATGAATTCATGGATGACGAAAATGGATGAAGAAAATGGATATGAATGGGATGGAATTGCTTTAAAAAGGTACCTCACATCTCACGATTTTGAAGTTCACAGAATGAAGCATCTCACTGAGATGTTCATGATCAATTTCCAAATCTGACTGTGGCAGCCATGCGCCCCAAAACCATTTAGGCGTGTGGATGCTTGTTGGATCCATTTGGAATCAATTTGGATACTTGAAATCCCCACTACCCTCGGGTACTTTCGTGCTAAAGTAACATTGCTATGGCCGATCAGGGAATTTGAATTCACTCCAACATCATCCACCTAAGTGGGCCAAGGCTATGGCTTCGAGATACTTCGAGATGCTTTGAGTTCGTAAACTGCAACTTCTATGGCAGTGTGTCAAAACCTTGTACCCCTGGTGAACATCAAAATAGCTGGTAAATGGATGTTCATCCCACTAAAAATGGTATTAATAGGTATTAAATCCATACCCCTATGACCGTTGAACTCCTCAAGGACCATCCCCCGAAAAACCTCCAAAAACGACCAACTCCGCCTGAGCCCAGGGTCCTTTCCAGCGACCTTTGCTGGAGAAGCGCACGGTAGCATCCCCTCCATCCTGGGGACGACTAAGGCGACCTTGGAAACCTGGGGAAACCTGGGAAACTTGGGGAAACTACAGGGACATGTTTGATGATACCTAGGGAAATTACAGGGAAAAGACATGAAAAGACCTTAGACACCTGGACATGATGGGGAAAACATCATCGAACTATTCCGAGAGAAAGACTTTCCAGCAACTACCATCTCTAATATCGGCAGTGAATTTTTCGAGGATAGTGGAGTAAAGTCGGGGATTGAATTCGAAGTTTTCGGTGAGATCCTCAGAATCACAAGTCAATGAGGATATTTTGAGCATATAACCGCCCTTGATGGGGATTCAGAGACTAAATGATTATCAAATGGGACATCCTGAGGATAAAAACGATATAACTAATATATATAATTAGTTTATAATTAGGATATCATTTCATATAATTGGGATGTCATTAATGTGATATAACTATCCATAACACGATATATGAATATAACTAAGAATGGAATTGGGATCATCATGTGGATCTGATGGTGGCATGGGGTATCAACAAATAGACCCTCTCTGGAATACAGGGTTTGGTATACGGGGAATCAAACATGTGACAGCACTTCACCAAAGGTAGGATCGAATGGATCAAAATGACAGTGTGATCCGTTACAACAAGTTTTACCCCCCTACGTGCACCACTTGATGCGCTCTGTACGACATCGACATCTGGAACTTCAGGTCAGGAACAGCACCGAAAAAAGCACCGGAAACCAAGAAACTGTGGGCTTGATCCACGTATCTCCGTGCATGGTCTTCAAGACGAAACCAAAACCTAGCACTCGAATGATGGGTCTATCGTGGTCTCAGGGGTGGTCTCAGGGGATCGGGAAGTATCTGTCTGAAGTACTTATTAAGTACCATTTAAGTAGCATTGTCTATTTATGTTTGACCAAAAAGGAAATTGAGGATAATATATTTCTGAGCAAAAAGGACATTGAGGATAATTCATCGATGACACTTAAATCATAGAAGTCATAGAAGCATATAATTCAATGCCGTTCCCATCCACAAAAACAGGAAAAACATAACTGGTTGGTGGTTTCAACCCCTCCGAAAAATATGAGTTCGTCAGTTGGGATGATGACATTCCCAACTGAATGGAAACATAAAAGTCATGTTCCAAACCACCAACCAGTTTTTGTCTATCCAAGCTACCACCAATATCTGGCTCAATCAGCGTTTCAGAGTCTTCCTTCTCAGCATGTGCCGTAACGGCCAGGTCAATTCCATGGATGCCTCCCTCCATTTTCTGCAGCTTCATTCGGCAAGCCTCAGCTAGTTCCACCGATGGTATACAACCAGCTGGTACACAACAAGCCTCCGACAAAAATAGCGAAGTTCAGCATGTTGGATTTTTTTGGGAGATTTGACTTTTCGATTTTCTTGGGAAGTTACAGTCCTGCAAAGGAAATCCAAAGTAGGGACGTCAGATTTCCAGGTTTTCATCTCATGGATTTATTTTAGGGGAACTCTACAGGGAAAATCCATGGTGTTTTGCAACAAAGTCTCCGGCATTTGTCGGTTTCTTTGACCAATCTTCCCATCATCCCATTTGGGGATTACAAACAATCACTTAAATAAGGAATTCATATCTTTATCCGGTATCCCATGAATTCCATAATATGTTCCAGGAACTTCCAGGTTCCCCATGTAGTTTCATGCAAATGTTTCCTATCACTGCTTCCCCATGATTTCCGATGCCCATGGCACCTTCTCATCCACTTTGGTCAAATCTGCAGGCCACTGAACGCTCTTGATGTGTGTTGCCTCGATTCGAACAGCGACAACGACCATGTGATGTAGGGTTTCTTGACGAAAGGGAAACGAGCAGTTATCTCTGTTTTGTTTGGGGCGGTTCTAGGTATTTTTTAATTGATAAATATATATATATATATATCATATCATAACATTATATAATAACGGTCCTAAAATATAGAAGATAATCGGACATCTTGGTATTTGTGGCATATATATATATATATATCGCCATGAGAACTGTCCCAAACCATCCCACAAGTTCCAAACAGTGCGTTTTTTAGGGCAACATTTACCACCAAGACTGGAGAGAATATCAGATCATTTAAACTGCAAGAACCTGTTAATTGAGAATATTTTGGGAACGGGATGGAAGAGGTTTCTTGCAATATTGGGGGTTGCCCTCGAGGAAAGAACGTAGCTTGATTCAGCTTGACCACAAGTATCAAATTTGCCGCCAGAAATGAACACCAAGCAACGTCAAGCCGCAGAAAAATAAATTGTCTACCATCTGGTTATTTAATATAGCCATGGAACATCACCATTTCTAATAGGTAAACATGGTAAACCATCTATAAATGGGCCATTTTCCATGGCTATGCAAAATAAACAGAGGGTAATTTGAAACGGCAAGCCGTGTGGCTTCCATCGACTGGATTGCCAGAGGGTAAACTGACTAAAAACCCTTGCTGATCGGGTGCAATCATCGATCACCCAGAAGCATTCTGGTGGGGCTATGTACACACACCTATTTTCTAAGTCAAGTGGAAATGTTCCAACATATCAACCTCAGGTTACAACATGTTACAACCTCTTCCTGCACCCTCTGCCCACCGGCACACTTTGGCTGTTGAAACTGTTGCCACAAGATGGCTGCGAAGGCACTGAGGCACTATGTTTCGTGCTCTTGACCTGCAGCCTGTTGGATTTCCCCAGGTAACAACAGATCCATCTGCCAGAACTGCAGCAAATGCATAACTTGTTCAGTCGCCGCCATACAGTTCATGGCCCCATGCGACAACGGAGCCATCTGCGAGGATCGCGGCAAATGCCCGATCTGCAGCATGAATCTGCTCCACATGCCTCAGCTGAACTTGAACTGCAGAACTGCAGAGCTGTCACCACCACAATTTGGTTTGCCCCAAGTAACCACTGATCTGTCTCGAAGGATGGCAGCGAAAGCACCATGTTTCGTAGCCTGGATCTGTTTCACAGCTCTCAACTGGTCTTGGACTTGAGAACTGTCACCTCCATCGCGATTGCCCCAAGTCACAACTGATCCATCTGCCAGGGCAGCAAATGCACAAAATGCACAACCTGTTGCCTGAAGCTGCTGCACATTTCGAAGTTGCTCCTGGACTTTGGAGATGTCCCCAAAATGTGGAATGCCCCAAGCTACGACCGATCTATCCTGCAAGATAGCAGCAAACGCATAGTCCGTGGCCTGAATCTGCTGTATGCTCTTCAGTTGATCTTGAATTTCAAAGCTGTTGCCACCACGCTATTAGCGTTGCCCCAGTGACTGAGCACAGATCCATCAGATCCTGGGTCGCCCCATGTGTCTTGTCACCTCCACAGCACCAGTAAAAGCTTCCCTGGTTGGTGGTATACCTACCCCTCTGAAAAATATGAAAGTCAATGGGAAGGATGACAACCCATATATTATGGAAAATAAAAAATGTTTGAAACCACCAACCAGTTCCAGTGTTGTGGCAAGTCTTGCTTGGAGTGCAATTGTCGTGGTCTCCATCAATGCCTGCAACGTCCAAAGATTCTGTATGATCAGGCAAAACCTGGCTTGAGGCAGTTACAAGTTTCAGGAAAACTTGTCCAAAGGGACTTCTGGGTAAGAATCCTCAAGTCCTGCACTTTGGAGGACTGCAAAATCGACAAAATCGACAAAATCCGAGCGCTTGCCAAAGTTATGCTTACTTGAAGCATTGAAAGAAGACTGAAGCGTTTACACCCTCTATAAGCCTCTATGCCAAGGAAAAAAGGGAGACCCACATATCTTGAGCCAAATAGTTGTAGCAGCGCTTTATTGGGTATGCAACTTTCGTAGCAAGTCTGGTGTCACTGTCAGCACCAAATGCTGATGTTGTCTTAGCGCCACATCTCCCATCTTAACCCACAGAGAATAGTTCAATAGTTGAAGTTTTTCTACGGTGATCCACAGAATTGCGTGTAAAGTTTCAAAGCCTTGAAAGAGAAATCGGGAGACTGCAGGTCATACTGTCCAAACTGATCAAAAGAAACCTAATTCTGTGACATTCCAGTGTCTGGATGGTACTTGTGCATGCCATAATATCAAAGTCCATATCATCAGGGTGATCCTCATAGTCATAGTACTCATAGCAAAGCAACTCTCGATAGAACATATGAGTTGTAGTATTTTCTCATGCCGCAGCAGCTATCACTTTCCATACATCAGAATACGTTCCTCATCCCTGGAAACAGCGTATTCCCAAAAAATCCTAGCGACGGAGGTCCACTGTCGACTCTGTGGCTTCTCGAAAACTCCAAAGTGCAGCAAGCATTCGCCCAGACGAGGATTCAACCAGGCGCGGATCTCCACCTGCCGAGTCAGGAGATATTTGCTGAGCTTTTCTGATATGCACAGGATTACATGACTACAATCAGCATATCATTAATCAAGAGATGATCGACAATAGTAGATATACTTTATCTATATATACACATGTCTATGATTGGAGCAAGTCGAGAATCATTTGGGAATCCTTTAACAAATTGCAATGGTGAAGAGCAGAAATGGCCAGATTCTGTGTCTGGTGGCGAATTTCAATACACAAACGAGCTGTATTTTGCAACGGAAGGTGGAGCCAGGATATTTCAGGAAATCAACCGTGAGTTCACTGATGGTGATTCGCTCATTATTTAACCTTAGCTGTCAAGGGCAGCTATCCAATCATTCAACATATTTCTTAAGGCTTCTCCGTAAGGTGACTTCTATGACTATCGATTCTAATCGACTACAGTAACCTCAGTAACCTCCAAAAGACCTAAAAAAGAAGGCATTATCACATATTATCACTATTTTACTTCATATTTACACTATTTTACAGTATGTAGATATTCATGTGGTTTTCCTCGGTCAACAGAATTTCACCATCCCTCAATGGATTGGTGGGAAAATGTTCTCATATTTAATAGGAAAATCGATGGTTTCCGGCGTTTTTCCCTTATACCAATCCATTGAATCCTTATAAAAATCACCATCCCTTATACCAATCCTCATATTTCATGAGGAAAAAAAAATATGTTTATACCAATTCATATGAATCCTTATAAAATCCATACGTTTACCGTCCCCAAATCCCCAAATCAGCCGCAGCAGCCGCTGACCTTCGCCTTGTGCTCGCCTTCACTGATGCAGGCAACGTCCATGGTGCCAAAGTCGCCTCGGTTTTCGCCAAGGCCAGGGAGAATAGCAGGGTCAGGAAGTGCAATTTGTATACACACATACAAGCATATTATTATATAATAGTAAATAATATATATAATATTATAATATATTATACATAATATAATGTTATATGTTATACAGTTTTACATGCAAATCATTTGGATGTTCATTTGGATGGTAGTCATTCAACGCCATGAACATTGGACATTTCAAAAACAGTTGGTAATTGCCCAGGTTTGATGCATGCACTTGTTGTCAAGCCAGGAATCAACATGGTCAATGTGGTCAATGGTCGAGTTTGATGGGAATTTGGTCGAATGTCCGACCAACAAACGGAAATCGCACCTGACTCGAAAAGCTATGTCAAAAGTGGACCTGTCCTACACCTGGCTAGCCCACCCATCATCTAAATTCTATCATATTCTATCGTGACTTATCTTAGCAGCGAAGCTTCTGAAGCTTTCTCGCAGGGAGCGCAATCCCGGAGTCAATGAGTCAAGCATCAACAGTTCGAAACCCCCAGCCGTTGAGTTGGGCAAAACTATCGCAAACCATTTCGTTTCCCACTGTTCCATACTGTTCCCACTCCAAAATTGGTCATTTCCAGTACTAGCCATTGACGCTGTCAGCGCACCCTGCAAGGCGAAGGAGGTAAAGGAGATATCCGCTCTCGCCTCTCGTTGCCGCCGCCCCTGCGAGAGGTGAGAGGCGTGACGGCGGGGTTGGCTTTTTTTCGTCATCTGAAAGAAATGCGGAAGGGTCAGAAGCCATGAACTTACATGTGAAATCATGTGAATTGGGGGGCTGAACCATCCATCTACAGCCTGTGATCTTGATCGATATAGCATGATAATATATTGGCAATCTGGGCTTGATAGCTCCATATAGCTCCCAAATGTAATGTGAAGTTACAATAGAAATTGAATTCACAATGCATCTCAACATCATCCAACAACCCAGAAAAAAACACCACAATATATGGGTTTGTCTTCAAATAGGGTATCCCCAAATCCAGTTTACTCACTATTTTCCCTATCAACATGGTCAGATAGAGACCCCATGATCAAACACACCTGTCCACAATGGCTGGTTATACCAGTTGTTATACCCCCATTGATATAGACGCTGGCTGGCTGTTCCCCCCCCCAAAAAAAAATGGCTTACATAGCTTGGGAATTTCGCCATGTTATGCCATGTTTGCGAACACCGGAGGGTTCAGACCCCAGGTCCTCCAGAAATTGGTTCTTCACTGCATCTGCTTGTCTTGCTTCTTCCTCACTTCGAGCTTCTGCTTCCCTTCTCGCGCGGTCCCACTCCTACGGATACGCAGGGATCTGATCAAAGTTCAGCTGTCAATTGGATATCTATACCATGGACGATATTAGAATTTCCAGCCATAGATAAATAGAAGATATTCGAAGATACTGGAGATCCTATCGATGATCCATAAATTTCCATGATCCGTCCTCGTGTCGAGGGAGCTCAAACTCGAAATCATGGGGTCCATGTTTAATCCACCTGTTGGCAGCTCCATCGTGCAGAACCTCAGCAGAAAGATTCGGCATCCCGAAGTCGTCAAATGACATCCACGGATACATTTGGGGCGCGACACTTTGCTATATAACTATATCCAAAAACCATTCTGTACCGGCCTTGAGATATTCTGTAACAAAAATTTCAACGGGGATCTGATCTAAGTATGTATATAAATATATTATAAATAAATATATATATATATATATATATGTATATGTATATTGTATGTATATATATATATATACACATACATACAGTATATATAAATTTGAATATATCAATCACCTATTCTGTGCGAAAAAAATGGGCGATCTTCAACAAAACTCCAAATCCTGCTCAGGTCACCCAAGTTGGGCCAAGTTCTCCGAGCGGCAAACATGATGTAGGTATCCACTTCAGCAGCTGGAATAGTAAAGGAGACCTCAACTCGTGCCTGTGTTATCTCTGAAGGTTACTTGGTTCATGATTTTTTTACCTCAAATCTTGGATTTCAATCTTTAGTTCCTACTATTTCCCATATTTTCCTATAAAATATCATACTCATTTGGAGTATGATGCAGTATGATCACCATAAGTTGCATGTCAACGCAAAAACAACAGCCATCATTCACATGGCACCATCCACCCTGGCCTCAAACTTGTCCGTGCCAGAGCGCACCAACGGTGCTCGCTTGGAGGACTTCCAGGCCCGATCCTTGCCTGCAGGACCATACCTGGAGCGATGTTTTGATGTTTCTGGCTATTCATGTGGCTTCAACCATAAATTTTATATCTGGTTCGCGGTATACCTAGCCCTCTGAAAAATATGAGTTCGTCAGTTGGGATCATGAAATTCCCAATATATATGGAAAATAAAACATGTTCCAAACCACCAAGCAGGTATTTATTTATTGGATTAGTGGAAACGAACCTTATTTGGGGTTGGCGAATTATTGCAATCTATCCAGCTGTATCTCCTGGAATGATCAGTGGTTGACCAGTGAAAATGCTGGTGTAACATGATATAACCCGTCACATATGGATATTAATGGATATTGATGAATATTCACGCACATTAATTGTAGGAAATAAGGATTTGAACATATTATGAATTGTTTAATTCGAATATAATTGATTAATCAACTAGTGGGGGACCAACTAACAAATGAACTAACAAATGACAATATGGAGAAAACCAACAATATATGATCAATATGGGCTATTGATGTACATTAATGGTGGTTTAATCAACCAAGCCTTCAATATTCACCTTTGTTTAGTAAAGGAAACTTTAGGGGACCACCCTTGATGGTCTACCACCATTTTCCCTCTTAGAGTTGCTTTTTTGTTGGGGCTATACCTCATTTTTAGACACACCCACATATCACCATCGTTTCAGTTAAGTAAGTTTTTTTAAGGGGTGCTACTCTTAACCCTTCTGTACAATCTTCTATACAAGGCTGTTGAAGTTAGGAGACTCAAGTCATTTGGGCACACTTGGACTTCTCAGATCAAAAACCTCATGATATGGAGGTTTCCTAATGGCTGGAGGTACCCCCAGTTCTCATCCATGAAAAAATAGGATGTTCCAGATGGGACCATAATATGATTAGATGGGACCATAATGGATCATCCATAATCATCACTTTTTATAGGATGTTTCCAGATATGATTATGGATGATTCATTTATGATATGATCATTCAATGGTTATGGAGATCATATTAGGATATAATCTATAATACCTTCTGGTAAACAAACAGTTTGCGACATTGATAGCATGGCCCAGTCGAAATAGTGGATGACTACCCATTGATAGCATGGTGTTTTTTCCATAGTTATGTTAGTTTATTAGAGGGTAATGGATCATCCATTTCTGGAAAAACCTCCCAGGGGCCCCCTGGGCCAGGGCACTGAATAACCAGCTCGGTGGAGCAGTGGACCAAGACGTGCAACTGGCACTCCTCCTCGACCTTGGAAATTCACCATGACTGGGGATGGTAGAGATAGCATCTGTAAATCAAAATTAAATGTTGATATATGTATATATATATATATGTATATATATATATATGTATTAATGTAATACAATATAATATGATTTAACATAACACAATATAATATGATATGATATAAAGTCTGTCTGAAGTCCGTCTGAAGGTTGTCTGAAGTCTGTATGAATTGATATACTATGATATAATATAATATGATATCATATATATATATAATGTTATATAATATAATGGGGATGGTAGACATGGCAAATTTAGTGGTGACCTGGGGATGATTTAGCATGTGTTGGGTGTAGCACATTAGATGGTAAGCATTGTTTAACTGCTAAACAGCCTAAACAGTAGCGGAATAGATGGTGTAACTATATGCACTGCTAAAACCAAATCATCTCTCTTGAGTATTTCAAGGTAAATAGAGATGGAACTGTTTTTATTTCATCAAGCAACTCAAAAGTCAAACAACACATGCTTCGCATGTCCCATGTTTTTCCAACTCACCCAGTACGCCAGTACGCTCGTGACGGTCTGGTGCAATGGCAAGTGACGGAAGTGGCCAAGAGAACCACCTCGATGTTGGTTCCAGGCACCTGCCAACTGGTGGTCTTTGCATCCGGCTCGGCTCTCCTCGATGTGAAAAGCCCAAGTTGCGTTTTTTTCTGGAGAAATGGGATATGAAACCAAAGTAAACTAACCATTTCAGTGGGATATTTCATGACAGCCACACATTTGACATTTTGCTTCCAGTTCGTCATGGAAAAACACCCATTTTTGTTCACCCATGGCTACTATGGGATTGTCCCAAAATGGAGAAGCCCCAAAAAAAATCCAAGGCTTCATTAACTCCATCTTTTCACCCATCAAAAAAGGAGCTTTCCACCCGTGGCTGGGGGATGCTGGGGGTACCCCAAGTCAGCCAAGTTCAAGTCATTGGATTTTTGTTGGGTATTGAAAGCCATGATGACTTGGGGATCCCCCAGCCATTAGGAAACCTCCAATTGGCTTATCCCAATGTCTAAATTCAACAACCCCAGCGCCATCTCAGTGCTGGTCGAGGTGCTGCACTTCTTCCACAAAGGTACCTGAGGTCGATGTGAGTTGGGTCTCACAATCCAACAACTGGCTCTTTGATGCTCTTTGTGGCAAAGATAGTCCTCTCTGGTAATGGACCAAATACAGGAAAACAATTACTGGTTGGTGGTTTCACCCCCTCCGAAAAATATTAGTCAGTTGGGATTATTATTCCCAATATATGGAAAAATAAAAAATGTTCCAAACCACCAACCAGATTAAATTAGAGGATGTTTATTGATTTTCCCAGATTTTCCCATATTTTCAATGGCCATGGCGAGTTCGGGGATGTCCAATTTCGCCAATTTCGATGCGGCTCAAGGGGCTGAAGAGCTTTGAAGCTCGTCGTTGCAACCGTGGCGCCGGTTCGAAGCTTTCCTTCACGGCAGTGCGGGAGCAGATTTCACTGCCGATATATCAAGCAATGAAATCTCAATAATTTGGGTTATAGCTGTTATAACTTATAACAGCCATCTACTATGGTTATATAACCACCTACTATGGTTATATAACCACCATTAACATCCATTATATAACACTATATATAGTTATACGATGTTATAAGTTATAAACATATATAGACATCATAAACATTTCGTGAAGTTACACCAACTTCAGAGGCACAAAAAGTGGTTGGTGGATCCTTTCTAACACCACATGAGCCACTGGGCCACGTCAGGAGATTATAATTTCCCTGACTATTTGGGTGTCTATAAAGGAAAATCCCACCAAAATGGATGAGAACTGGGGTTAGCCCTATTTTAGGAAACCCCCATTTGATGGCGTGTATATTACGGGTCTTTGTCTGAATATTGGGAAAACCCTGAAAAGTCAATGGTTTCAGAATCTGCTCCATTATGGCACACATTTTTTTCAGACACATCCTATATCCAGAATTGTTCGTTACATCCCAAAATATCCTTTTAAAATACAATAAAACCCAATGAAATCAAACTGAATCCCAGAAAATGGCATTCTATCCCTCAAAATCCAAAAAGAACCTCAACTTTATGCCATCGAGTCCGCTTAAATTCCAGCAAATACCATTACTGCTTGGTAGTTTCAACCCCTCCGAAATATATGAGTTCGTCAGTTGGGATCATGAAATTCCCAATATATGGAACATAAAAGTCATGTTCCAAACCACCAACCAGATTAAATATACCAATCCCACAAATTCTTCTTCGCATTTCTACCGTAGATCATGACTCTTAGCAATCTCCGCCGCCTTTGGAGCTTCTGGTGGTTTTACTTTGCAGAGCTCTTCGGGGAGCTCAAAAGCAAAGTCGCGCCCTGCATCCTGCGATCGCAGAAAATGTGGATTTTATGGTCACCTTGGGAACGCCTCGAGATTTTTCGCTAGACTGGCTGGCAGGTTGAATAGAGTCGTCAACTTCACTGTGAATTCCAATGCTATTCGCATATGTATGCATATGTGTCATATGTCGGCTGTAATTATCGAAAAAACATAAAACAAATCCTGTGGAAATGCCCAGATTTTGACAGGTCTCACGAAGCAACACCTACAATCCAGCTACTGACTATCACCTACGTTCGAACTCTACCAGCAGCGCAGAACACCGAAAAAAAACAATCCCAGACTTGGAAGGGAAAAATTGATGGAAACATTGATGATCAAACCCCCCAGTTTTTGAATGATCCAACCATGTCAAAACATGTCGGTGTCCGGAAAATGATGTGAAATCATGTGATATCAGGATCTGACCCTGCCTTCAACCATTGATTCACTGAGGGATCGTGCAAGACAAACATCAAGTACCTCTTCCAGGTGGGGCCGCGGGAAATCAATCCTCAAGGGGACCCAGTTTCTGGCATTTCGGCATCGATTCTGGGAGGATAAAAGTGATATAACTGATACCCGGCCTGGTAAACGAACAGTTTGCTATGGAAAATCACCATGCCACCATGCTATTAATGGGTAAATCAACTATTTCGACTGGGCCATGCTATCAATAGCTTTTTGTATATGTTTACCAGAGGGTAACCATCAATCATTGTCACTCTATGTCACGGTATGTCACGGTCGAATTCTCCAAATTCGATTCTGAATCGTCACCAAAGCTATAACATGAAGCGGAGCTGAAAAAATGGAGTACAAGTTGCGGTTATGGCGTCCTCGAAACAATCGTCCATCTGTGCTCCCAGGCTGATTTACCAAAAGAACACCAGTGTCTGATTCGTATAGAATCATCATGTTTCATCATGGTTCATCCATCTTTCCTATATTACCCTGCGGTAAACATGGCTTGCTGGAAGCCATACACCGTTTAGGAAACCGTGGAATTTTTTCCCGTTGCAACCTCCGGACTGGTCCGGATTTTCCAGCGAGCCAAGGTGCTTGTTGAGGTTTTGTCCATCGATCTTGATGAGGCCCTGTCTTTGGCTTGGTTGGCTTCGCAGCTTGCTCTTGGCAATCGTGTTATATGTTAAAAACTATGGGATATGATAGCAATAGAATGAAGATATCAAAGGAAGAAACATGTGGTTTTGCACGACCCAACCATTTTATGGGGATGTACTGAGATAAAATTGACATGTAATGTGGACAAACCAACAATTTGAACAGTTGAATAGGGGATTGTGGGAGATCATTCTTGATCAAGATCCGTCGTCCTCAAGCAGCTCACTGGTGACCTGAAAAATAGAGGTACCAATGAACCTTACTGCTAAAATTTGGGGAACATGAACCATCCATGTAGTGCGGGTTTCATACATGAACGTACATGTTCGATTCCAGGGTATCCCCATAAAACTTACATGGTCGGATCTAACTCCAAGATGATCATTCAATATTTCAAGCTTCTGAATGATAGCTATGGCCCCTGGCTTTTCAAAGATTTTTCAGCTAGCCATGTTCTATTCGTGTTATATCATCCCCACAAATGCCTATAACATAACCATTAAATCTCCGATAAAATCTCATAACACTCCACCACTAGATCCCATCTTTAATCACAATAAAATCATGAAAAATCCCATAAACCCCACCACCATAAGATCTCATAAAATCACCATTAAATCCCATAAATTGGCAGGTTGGATCCATTCAACTCCCATTCGAAGTCATGATGACTTCGGTCGCTCCTTCGACACGCCACCAGGAGCCTTTTCGAGGTTCAACCTTGCAATTCAGAATCGCTTTCGTATCACCAGATATCACCACAACAGTTGCACCTCTCAAAGAACTGCGGTGACCCTGCCCACCAGTGGTGTCTCTCAAAATTCTGGACTCAGTTATTCTCATGATATTCCCATGTTCCCCAAACAACATATTCCCAAAACTATATTCCCATTGATATTCCCATAGGTTGGTGGTATACCTACCCCTCTGAAAAATATGACTTCGTCAGTTGGGATGATGATTAGTCCCAACATATGGAAAGTCATAAAATTCATGTTCCAAACCACCAACCAGATATATTGTTGGTGACATCCCTATGATATAGCAATTATATATATATATATATTATGCAATTATTATATATCACCAGTATATATTACCATTTTTTTCTGCTTAAATACTCCAAACCACCAACCAGTATTATTAATAACCAATGGTACCCCCATTTAAGGAAACCTCCGCAAAAACACTAATGGTACTTGTTTTTTTCCGTTACCTATCCACTACTAAGCTCCAGATATTCCCATAGATCTGGATAAATTATAATATTTCACTAACCTGAATTGAGACCATGTGGGGATGATTTCCCTTACTAACCATGATTCCAGTGAGGGAGAGTGAGGTCGCGATCAAATTTACCCAGATAGATATACGGATATACTATTCATCTCAATGATATTCCCATAGATATTCCCAGATATTCCCATAGATATACCATTTATCTCCAGTATCCCAATGGCCCACTGTCCTGCTGGAGGATGTCCAGCGATGGTCTTTTCCCGCTGGACCATATTGAAGCACCAAATCCTAGGACCGGACCGGACGACCGTGGGTCGATCTGTTGACACGTAGAAAGCTGAGGAGAACTGATTTCATATGATTTCATGCATGATTTTGCATGATTTTATATGATTTTATATGATTTCATATTTTACATGATTTTAATGCATGATTTTTTATATGATTTTATATATGATTTACATCTGACAATGTAACGTTGCTATGGAAAATCACCATGTTTCAAAGGTAAATCATTCAAATCATGAATGATCCATTGATTTTATAGGATTTTCTGTGGACATGGGATTGACCTATCGAAATGCCAATTCTTGCCACAGTGGGAAGGATTCCAGGCGAGAAACGTTCGAGAATTCAAGCTTGCGAATGAGGCAAGCTTAACCAGCCAAGTGCATTTTTAACATGTTGCAACAGGGACAGGGACAGGGCTTCAACTGCCGGTTACAATCGACGTCGTACTAACGTCCTGAGGGAATGGACTGTCCATTCACGAGAGGCGAGTGGACTATGGGAAGGTGGATCCACGGATCTCGGGTAAAAATAGAAGGTACAATGAGCCAACAATTTACCAATTTACCATATATCATATATCTCTCCATATATATATATATATCTCTTGGTTGTGTAAAACATGTTCCTCCTCTTCGTGAAACAACCAGTCCACGTCGGAACTTGGAATGTCCAAAACTGTATCCCTCCGGTGTCGACAAACGTTTGTGGGACATCCCACAAAATGAATGTTCATAGCTTGGAAAAAACATCTTATAGATCGGCCATGTTCCAGCAAACCACATTTCACAGAGGGAATCATAATATCGATCCCCAGGATATTTGTCCCCCATCAACCCTAAGCCAAGTTATGTTCATCAACTATCGTTTTGGGGCCTCACCTTGCAATGGAGAGGATTTTAAGTTGACTTTCCTTCCGAAGCATCAGTTCCAACGATGAATCGTCCTGACAATCTAGAATTTTGCTCAGAGATCCATGGTTATATCATATGAATTAAATCCGCATATAAATCCATTTAGGCTGGTATAAAGATATTCACAATCTCGGAAAAACACACACAGATTGTATCCTCATAAACGCACCATTTAATTCATTTGCTTGGGAACATAATCCAAACAAATTAGGTAGTATAACCCCGTATCAACAAGGATTCTTACCCGTCATTTAATGTGATGATTGAAATAGCATTGGTGATAGTTTATTATTGGGATACATCTAGACGAACAATTATATGCCCTAAAAGAACCTTTAGGCAAATCATTTATATAACTGGGCCATTTTCCATAGGAGTATTATCCCATCACAATCACTGGTTGGTGGTTGAGCCCTACCCCTCTGAAAAATCTGACTTCGTCAGTTGGGATGATGATTATTCCCAATATGATGGGAAAGTCATAAAGTTCATGTTCCAAGCCACCAACCAGATATATTGTTGGTGACATCCCTATGATATAGCAATTATTAAATATCACCAGTATATATTACCATTTTTCTGCTTAAATCACCAGATCACTATATAAGTAAATATTAAAATGTAACCAGTATTAATGGATACTAACCACTGTATAAGCCCCAGTGTCACCTTTAGGTGGTGCACAATCTTCTTAGCCAAGTTGCTTTATCACTAGGTGAAACCTATGGTTTGTGATAGAGATATCTATGGCCAATGGATGTTAATGGGCTTGAAAAAAAAACATCTTACAACTGGTGGGGGCACCACCTGATAGTTTTCATACATTAATATCATATATCAATATTATTGGTATCCAACTATTATTAACTATTATTATTGGTATCCAACTATTAGTTTTCATACATTAATATCATATTAATATCATATATCCATTAATATCATATATTCATTGGTGAGTATCCAAGCATAGTTGCTTAGTATTTTATAGTGCTATTCATATCTATCAGCGTGTAGCATTCATCAAGCCAGGGGCCAACAACAACAACAACCCCTGGCTCATTCGGAACCCACATCAAGTACTTGGGGATTCATCGATATTAACCACTATTCATGTATATATATATATATATACACATATATATATATATATCAACTATTAGGTTACTAATAACCACATTAACCGATCAGCTAGCTGCGCCCCAGCGTCTCGTTCTGTTCGGACAATGGCCTGGACCTCGCAGCTTCCTCCTACAGCGAAAGCGACTGCTGGGTGGTAAAAACTAGAATGTAGCTGACTATAGTTGGCATATATACATATACATATATACATATATATATATAAATATATAAATAAATATACATATATATATATATTTGTATATACTTATGATATACTACAATATAATCTAATATAACATGAAGTAATATAATATAATATGATATAATATCATATCAAGAGGATTGTTGATTACATACTTGAGAAACATGTCCTATTTTCCAAAGAATAGTGACTAGCTAAGTGAAGCCTCGAAGCCAAACCAGGACCCTACTGCTGGAACTCTGAAACAATGACAACTGGATGGTGTGTTGATTACACTTGTACGCATGGATGTTTCACATTCCTCCAGCTACTCACGACTGTAGCATCCTGTACTAGCTGAAAATCCGAACGCGGAAGCCAACAAACGAATTTCTGAACCTGGATTTCCGGCCGATAGAGAACATGGATATCCCTAGCTCCTTAGCTCCCTCCTGACCATTAGATAGTGATTTGATTTCTTTGAAGCATAATCTTACCGTAAAGAACAAACACAGATCCCACTCCACTAGCACCACTCCCTATATCAGGATCATCACTATCCAGTGGCATCGCTCGTTGATAAGCGGGATAACTTGGAGGACCCACTTCTGGACAAACCCCCTTTCCTTGGTTTTTTAACAGAATTTACTCACAGGTTTTACCCATATTTGATGCTGATTAAACTTAAACATACTTAAACCATCAAAAAAACCATTTGCTTGCCGTGCTGTATTCATCAAAAACCAGCATTTTTTTACCGTGCTGTCCATGGGTGAACTCCAGCATGTGGCTTGGTGCTGGCTGCTTATGGCTGGATTTCCCAGAATGGATTGTGAAACCTCCCATTTTCTGTTGGGTAGGAAAAAAAACCTAACCGATCATCAACCCTATGACTTGTCAACTTGTATCATCTTATACCTTCATATTTTGATGGTGCAAAGAATATAAAGAAACCATTCAGATCCATTAAGTCACTATAATCATCAACCAGCAGGGTTTTGAACCATGTTTTTTTATTGCCATAAAAAGGTGCCATATCTCTCCGCCCAGTTCCCCGACCCTTGGCTGCTGCAATGATCGCCACTTCCACCCCACTGGAGCTGTAGCAGGAGACCTCCCGCGGTGGATCAACCGCTTCCCTGGACGTTTTGGAAGGGGGTTCTATGACAAAATGTACACAAAAAAGGGGATGTAACATAATGTCACCTGGAAAAATGTGGATAAAATCAACATAACATGATGTCACCTGGAAAAATGTGGAAATCAACATGAACATGTGGAAACCTGTGGCAAATGATTAAGCATGATGCATTATCCAACAGAACAGGTAATTGCAAAATGGTGATCTTACCAATGTCATTTGACCGACAAACAATGGAGGTATAAACCTGAAACAATGTGGATACACTGAACATAAATGAGTATGCAACAAAGACACAAAGGAACAAACAAGAACTTAAGATGATGTATGTCAGGCGTAGATCAATTATGTCTTAGGGTACTTGCCCAACCCAAATTACTGGCTAGTGGATACTCAGCATAGAAACAACATGAAACTGTGTATTTACCATCTGGTTATTTAACATAGCCATGGAAAATCACCGTTTTTAAGAACGGTAAACCATCTATAAATGGGCCATCTATACCATGGCTATCTTAAATAATCAGAGGGTATTTACTTAACCATTTTATAATCTGATAATTTCTCAAATTGAGGATTTGCATGACCAAACATGATGTCTGTTTTCTCTGCGGGTACAAACTGAATTGTGGGAAAATACATTGTCAAACTGGTGGGTGTAACCGGCGTAACCAACATTTAGCTGCGGAATCAAGGAACAAAAATTAGGCTATGACCAACAAACTTGGATATTCATCCACAATCGATTTCGCCAACATGGGGGTTGCAAAAATTGCCATGACTCTATCAAAATGATGGTTCACATAGTCTTACTGGTGCTTAGTAGGGAATGGATAGGACTGGGGGAATGGGATGATTATTACTAGTGATTATGGATCATTCCCTCATTCCCTGCTACGCACCAGTAAGTAGTAAGCCAGCTGAATTGTGTTTCAAACGTCGTAAAATCACTGCAGTATCCCGCTTTGCGATCTCAAGTGATCTGGCTAAAGTTCTTCCGTGTTTTCGAGGCTGGCTGCACTCTTAAAAATCATGACTTTTACAACCTTAGTTGGCTAGCTCACCTTCAAATCCTTCAATGCGAACAACATAATTACATGTGCACATTGGGATGCTGTGAATGACTAAAATATACAAAACTCCCATCGAGGTTGACAACATCCTTCTTTTTGCAGGTGTAAATCCTAGCTTCGAGTGTTTGTTTCCAACCATGTGTTGATTAAGTCCGCAGTGCTGGTTGGTCACGCTCCATGTTTGTAGTATTGTTGTACATCTGTTGCTTAATCCGTCACACCACCACCACCACTCTCTCTCTCTCTCTCTCTTTCTCTCTCTCGCCAAAACATGTGTTTTCCTCGAAAAAAAAATATGGAACATCATAGAACCTGCATATTTCATGGATCAAAACCGGTTGTTTTTCTGGAAAATCACCAGCTTTTTCTGGAAAATCTGGTGTTTCTTGGGTTCCAGTCATCCATGGACACCTTGGCTGAGGCTTCGCCCGATGCTGCCGCCACCAAGTTGCGAAAGGAGCGGCTCTCAGCCACCTGGGGGGCACTGAAACAGGGATGCGCGACGAGGAAACATGGGGAAGAACGCAACGAACTATGGGGATTTTAATGGATTTTAATGGATTTTAATGGATTTTAATGGATTTTAATGGATTTTAATGGAGTTTAATGGATTTTGATGGACTTTAATGGTGTTTTGTTAATGTTGGTGTCGACATAACTCCAATAGGTGTTGGGTTTCATGGTAGATATCTCGAACTAATTAATGAGGATAACATAAACCGATAAGCAGAACATGAGGGTCTCCACCCTATTTTGATCATACAATGGCGTATTCGTATATTAGTAACCAAGTTGATGGATTATGTATGACATGTTCAATCTTAATTTGTATATGATATGCCCAAATTCATGTAAATAGTATGATAGCCCCTGTTTCCCGGGAACATCACTATTCCTATGTTTCAGCATTCTTAATATCCAAAATATATGTGGATTATATATATATATATTAATGTGTATATACATAATATACATCTGTAGATTTGGATGATAAAGTAAATAAAAACATATTCCAAGATATCGTCACACACACACACACTACACACACACACATCACATATTGTAGGGTATCCAGAAATATTTTGAATATCTACCTATACCGTTTGGTTCATGGTTGAACCAGCTGTCCCGGGATGATATTACTGAAACTAGTGGGTATCTTCGGTGTATACTTGAGCCACTTCGAGTTATATGTAGATACAGGTAGATACATAACCATAATTATATAAAAATTCTATCCCAACTTACAGGGGATATTACTGCAATGGTTATATTATTGTAGACCATTGTAGACCCTCAAGTAGACAGCTCAAAACCGTGCTGGTAATGTCTTCTCTCTGTTTCAGATCACCCAATCCCATCGATTCATGTATGTTTCATAGAATCCACATGGATAAGCCATGTGAATGATGGGAATGCTCTCCTGATGCACCTTGAGATACCATCTGGTTATTTAACATAGCCATGGAAAATCACCATTTTTAATAGGTAAATCATCTATAAATGGTGATTTTCCATGGCTATGTTAAATAATCAGAGGGTATTAAAAACAAATGTGACTTCCATCTACACATGGATCTGGGTGAACTATACTATACGGATCTGGGATGATCTGCCTTCGAGAAGTCAATGAGAAAATTCGTTGCGCCATTCTTCAGCCACCTCACGGCCGGCCCGGCCCATCCAAAGATGCCATTTTAAACCCCATTTCCATGGCAAGTTGCACGGATTTTTTTTGGGGGAAATCGCAGAATGAATCATCAAGCAGTGCTCTTAACGGCTACCCAGACTGCCAGTCCGTTGGACCCAGGTACCCCCCAAAATATCATGAAACTCTTGTCATTCGCCATGAAAATTACAATAAAATAAGGTAGCCTTCGCTGATCAAACATACGGAAATACACCATTTGTAGATGTTAATCCCATTAAACCTCCATTTTATAGCAGACTTCCCAGCTTGGCACGTTTGAATACCGTTTTGGGTCTCTTGATTTTGGGCCCTACATATCCTATTAACGACGAAAACTGAGCACTCCACTCGTTTGGCTTCTTGTGAAGAACAAATTGGCAGCCTTTCCTGGGAGACAATTCATGGATTTGCTGCATCACCGTCCCATTTTCGGCTTGGTCATTCAACACCCAAACCAAGAATCCGAAGCCTCAGCACACATGAACGAATGTGCCAAAAACACGACTCCACCGACCACTCACCAACCAATTTGCCCAGCTTCAGATTTGCATCGGTGTTGATTTCCAAGCGAACCTTTCGCACATTCTGCCCATCAGGCGCGGGAAAAGCTGTCTGTAGCGCACCTCGACACGACGGGCCGCCCCTGGGCCCTTGGGCATGGTAACAGGACAGTTGAGTTCTGCTATGGAAACACCTCTATGAACTACTTGATGTCTCCTGATGGTCTACTTGATGTCATCTCCCAGATCGGTTTTTGGTGGTTCTTTGCTAAACTTCAAGTTTCATGCTAGGGCAAGCGTGTCATAGCAAGATCCACCAGATATTGGCTTATAGCAAGTAAAAACCCAGCTCTTTGTCCGTTTGCGCCTTGCGCCATCTGGACATGATGGCGTCATCTTGATTTGCCATATTTTGCCATGGTGGGACAAGATGGACAGGACCCAAGAAGAAACTTTTAGAAACACATCAGTGCCAAACTGGTTGGTGGTATACCTATACCCCTCTGAAAAATACATGAGTTCGTCAGTTGGGATCATGAAATTCCCAATATATGGAAAATCATAAAAGTAATGTTCCAAACCACCAACCAGTTACCTAAATCTGTGCCCTTCTGCTGATGAAAACTCGGCTCTAGCCGATTGCATCATGCCGGTGGAACTTGGACCTCATTTCCCCGCGGTTTTCCCCGAGGTCTTGATCATCATCAATATGGGTACCCATATGTTTCCAGCATTCTGAGTATCCAAAAATGGTGTTTCAAAACTAAATACCACCAGCAGCTTCAACCGGTCGATTTATTTCTCTCAAAATCTGGCAACACCCAGATAAAACCCATGGTTCACTACCTCATCGCTCCGAAAACCTGCCGCAAAAAGTCCTCTGGTAATTTCACACTTTGCGAACTGGAAGATGGCCATAGACATAGATGTTATTTACCTATTCAAAATAGTGATTTTTTTCCATATGTTAAAATACCAGAGGGTAGTAATAAGTATAACTGGTTGGTGGCTTTAGCCATCTTGAAAAATATGATCAGTTGGGAAGGATTATCCCATATATTATGGAAAATAAAAAATGTTCGCTGCAACGCTGACGTTGCACCGGTTTGACTTCAGGTGGATGTGAAAATTTAGTTGATGTTATTACCCCAGTCAACATATTGTTCAGAAGGGTGGCGAATTTTGACTGTGATGGTGATCATGATGATCAGATCATGATGTGATGATGATGATGATGATGATGATGATGATGATCATGATGATGATGATGATGATGATCATGATCATGACGATTGTAAGTGTGGAGCAGCGTCCGGGTTGGGGCGAACATGTTTGAAACCACCAACCAGCTCCCAGCGCCTGGGACACGAGCGGCGGCTGGCTGCGTTCGCGCTTGGATCTCCACCGGGACGATCCATTCTTCAGCGCTCCTCACGGAGATTTCTCCAGAAGATCATGGAAGGATAGTGATTACCAATGAACAATGGATATCATATGGGATTAATTATAGATTATAAAACTGGGATATAGTATCTATTATAGATGGATATGAATGGATTTTAATCATATGATATAGATTAATAAACCTGGGATATGGATGGATATGAACGGATTTTAAATAGGTTTGATTAACATTGGTTAAGCATCTATTGGGATGTGGATGTGGATGGATAGATAACATAGGTGTGTCTGAGGTTTGCCCCACCTAAATAACCACGTCAAAGGTGACAATGATGATAAACTCATTGATTTTGGAGTTTAACCAATCATATGATGGTGATATAGTGCGATGTAAATGCATATAATGTGAAAGACTAAGAACAAATGGTGATATTTAGGCCATACACTGGGGATATAACTGGGGTGCAACCAACACTTGGAGAAACCCTGCCGGAAGGGAGCCGATAGGTCCGATAGGTTTCTGCTGGTTGAACTTGGATTATTTAGGGGGGGGGTGTATATTTACTCACATGGAGTTATAAAACAACTTACACTTGATATTCCCGCCGATAAATTCTCACGACAACTGAAGAACAATTGGGTTCAATGATTTTACCAGGACCATTCAATCGGCTGTATAGAATTATAGAACCAGCAATTAGTTTTTTTTTCTGATGAATGGGGATAAAGTAACCGCCAATGTATTGCTATATTTATTGGGAAAATGATGGTAGTTCTTTCAAATTTCTTCAAATATAAGCCCAAATACCCTTGGTGGTACCGCAATACGCTTTGGTAATCTAGCCTGGCCATAGGCACTCCACCCTCTACATTCATTTACTACTGTTAACATCCATTTATGCCGGGTCTTTCGGCTAAATTTATGATTTCCAATTCAAAGGGGTAAGGCGCAAAAAAAACATTGTGCTCTGTTAGTCTGCAGGACAGCGATGTGGAATGTCCAAAGAAAGTTCTGAGGTGGTACAAGTGGTATAGATACTCCGATCTCGCCAGAGTTCGACTTTCTGGAAGGCTTGATTGGTGAAAACTCTTAGTGAAATGACCCGCTTTGGTATAGAACTTTGAACTCACAATCACCACCATTCACCATTGGAATATTGCTGCTTTTCAACCCATTGCTTTGCCAGAGTGTCTGTGTCGCTTAACACACTTGGCAGAGATGCCGGTCAAATTTCAATAAATCAATCTGAAAATCTATAAATCGGATAAATGAATTTGCATATTCAAGCATTGGAAAAGATCGTGACCTAAAAGATAGCAACTGACTCTCGAGAAAACTACAGCTGAGGCAAGAAACTGCCAAAGACAAAGTAGTGATCCTGTCGGTTACGTCACATTTTGGATGATGATCAAAGAAACACCTTCTTGTTTTGATTGCCCACAATGGCATTTGACTCACTGGGAATCTGGACAGAACGGACCGAATGCAGCACATTTCAAAACTCTCTGCTACAACTCAGCAGTAGGGTTCGTAAAGTCAATAAAGTCTTCCAACTCAAAGCTGTTACCACCCTCCTCTTCATTGCCCCAGGCCACAACTGATCCATCTGCCAGGATGGCAGCAAAAGCGCTATCTGACGCCACCTGCTGGACACCCCTCAGCTGATTGCGGACTCCAGTGCTGTCTCCACCATAATCTGAATGACCCCAGGAAACAACCGACTCATCTGCTCGGATGGCCACAAATGCACCGAATACCCCATCACTGTGTATGGTCTGATGTGTAGCTTGAATCTGCTTTACACATCCTTAAGCTGGTCTTGGACATCAAAGCTGTCACCACCATAATCTCCATCGCCCCAGGCAACAGCAGATCCATCTGCCAGGATGGCAGCAAATGCACCGTCTGTTGCCTGAATATGCTGCACTCCCTGTAAGTCATCTTCAAAGGGCCAGCTGACACCACCATGTTGTGGATCGCCCCACGTAACGACAGATCCATCTGACAGGATCGCGGCACATGCACAAGACGTGGCCTGAATCTGCTGGACGTTCTTAAGCTCATCTTGGACCCTAGAGCTGTCACCACCAAACAGTGGATCGCCCCATGTAACAATGGATCCATCTTCAAGGATCGCGGCAAACGCACAAGACGTGGCCTGAATCTGCTGCACATTCCTGAGCTGATCTCGAACTGTAGAACTGTCACCACCACGTTGTGGATCGCCCCAGGCAACAACAGATCCATCTGCCAGGATGGCAGCAAAAGCACAAGAATTTGCTTGAACCTGCTGCACGTTCCTGAGCTGATCTTGGACTGCAGAGCTGTCACTGCCCTTGAGTGAAAACCCCCACGTCACAATGAATCCACCTTCCAGGATTTCAGCAAAGGCACAGTCTGTGGCCTGAACCTGTTGGACTTTCTTCAGCTGATCTTGGAAAGGCTGTGACCACCGAATAATTCATGGCCCCAGGTAGCAACCGAACCATCTGCCAGGATCGCAGCGAATGCTTGGACAGTCTGAAGCAAATTACACTGATATTGTTGTCCACAACCCATGTGATGTTCATGTCCCCATGTGATGATCCTTTCTCCACAGCACCAGAGATGATCTCCATCCCGGAGCCCCGCAGCTTGCAGAGATTCTTCAGGATCAGGTAGTATCTTTCCACAAACTGTGACCAGACTCAAAAAGCGATGCCCAAGAGATTGCTGGGCCAGGGCCTTCAAGTCCCCAACTTTGGAGGACTCTGCGACTTCAAGATGTTTCCGCTTTCCGCTTGGGAGGGCTAGGTTGAGACGCAGCATTAGGGATGGCAGTATGGTCCAGAATATGGACAGCCAGGGTTGGCATTTTGAGCCAAGCATAGAGGCTACCAAATGAAGAGAATCGAAGCGTAGAACAGCCTGGCGAACTTCCCACGACACTGGGTGTGGTGATACCTGGTGGATGCTTCAACCCATTCCAAACAAACAGTCAAGTACATCAGTGTGTATACAGGCCCAACTTGCAGAAAACTTCAAGGTCATGAAACTACATATCTCTTTGGATGAAGGTCTACCCAGTCCAGATTTGGTGACGACATGTAGCTTGTTGTTTAGGGACCAACCTCATATTTACCACTTGATCATTTGGGTGCTGAAAATTGGCTACAAAGAAACGGTGATGAAATGTGGTGAATAATTACTAAAATTGCCTTCAAAAACGGCTGTCATCAATCTTCACCCGGATGGCTGCACCATCCGACCCCATCCGTCCCCATCTGCGCCCAGGCTCTGTTTCCCAACGCCCCAGTGAAGGAACATGTCTCCGGAGCCGAAGCCCGTCGCTGTAATCTCGAAGACCATCCAACCACCTGGGAGCAGCAGCTGAGGGGTTGAAACATGTTGAAACTATCCACAAAAAATGAGCATTCAGACGGATTTCGATCAAGAACTATCAATAGAATGGGAGGTAACTCGGTAACCATCAACAAAAGAACAACAAATTCTATCCGCTTTCCCGCCCAAAAATCGGGATTTCATGGATAGCCGGATAGCCCTCAACCAGGATGGCTTTCCCTACCGACCCTCCACCTTCATCGTTGGGCTCTGAAACCACGTCAACGTTGATGGAACACTTGCCCAATTGGGCGGCAATCATGGCGCCGTGGTTGAAACCAACGGGGTGTGTATTTTCCGAGGGTCACTCGATCTTCACAGATGCTCGACTTGTATAATCATGTGTAGAATTATAGTGTAACTACACTTAAGTACACAGATGCAGTTGCATGCACTTGCCCGTTGGCTGATATATCTTACCTCATTTCTTCCAATCAAGCGTGCATTCGCATCAGATTTCAACTCTGCAAAATCCAGGCGGCAATTCTGGATATGCCAGAATTAAATGCCTGTGACGATGTTGGTTAGTGTCTGTTACTGTCTTTCGGTATCTTTAAAACATCATGTGTGACTCCAGCTCCATGTAAACCCGGGAAAGCCCCACAAAGGTACTGATGGCTAAAGCCGAAGCTGCCATAAGAGCGGCTTAGCATGGCTACACCGCTGTTGAGAAGTCACCATTTTTCTTCAGATGTTGGATCCATCATGCCCCACGGGAGTAAGCCTAACTTGGCAAGTGCTTTTTGTATTTTTTCCCTTCAGATGAATTCTAGATGTGATGCGGCGGGCACAAAAGGGCACTCTTTTCCGGGCAAACTGCCACTGCAACACGATGCGTATCACGACGTCCGGGCGGTTCAAAGGCATCAAAGGCATCAAAGGCATCCGCAGACTTTCAGCACCAGCACTGCCACACCTGCCGTGGCCATGATTTTCGACAGATCCATAGCCATAGCCAAATCATGGTCATTTTCTTTAATGTGGCAGTGTGTGAAAACCCTGGTACCTAGTGAACCCCAAAATAGCTGGTAAATGGATGTTCATCCCACTAAAAATGTATTAATAGGTATTGATCCATCCCCATGTGGGGTGTTGCAATGCCAACCATCTTTGCCCATCTTTGCCCTCCGGCTGCCTGCATAGCACACGCAGGATAGAAGCTGATCAGTCAAATCCTGTCGGCGTGATGCACCCGTGGCAATTTCACCAACCTTTTTTGGGGCATTTGGAACACCCATTGAAGGGAACACATGTAGTGATATAATGTGTATAAAACAATAATAAACCACCCATTTGAGAATTGTTTATACCAAAAAACATTGTGATTTGGGGGATGGTTTATGGCATCGTTTTACCCACATTATAAATCATTATAATATTTACATATATTTACCATATCTGAAACCGACCAACCTGCCGGGGCTTGTCCTTTGGCGCTTGCTTCTCGTTGATTGCGAGCAGTTCCACCTACGGCCACGTAGGGGTGTCGGCTCAGGACGAGGTCCCAGAGGGACCAAGTTCGTGCTTTCTTGTAGAAAGTAGAAACATATGGAGGGAAAAACATTGTGATACTGGGAGTCTGCAATTTTCACTTATACCCAACCTTCACTTTGCCTTCAATTCCCCGAAGCTGAGTGATTTGACCAAGAAAACGTGAAGGTCGAATTGTTTGGTGGGCCAAAAGTATGGCACCTTGGTACATGTCCCACACAATATGGTCGTGTGCCAAAATAGGCCAGTTTAGAGCAATGTTGTTGGTATTTTTGCAAACAGTGGATTTGGGGGGTAACACCATTCTTCATGTTCATGTTCATCTACCTTCGCCTATATCTGCTCATTGGGCTTTACAAATTGGTTTCGTGCCAATTTCAATTCACCCCCTGCAGGTGAGGAGAGAGACTGCATCTCGGAGAGCGGAAAGACCTATATATAAAAATAATATAATATATATATATGTATATACAATTAATGACTATATGTAGCTTAGATTGGCAAGAATTGACTCCCCTGCTCGATTTAGCACAGGCACGTAGCGTTGGGTCCCATCTTCCCAAAGTGAAGCGATGTGGTGATGTGGGGTTTGTCTCACGGGGAATGCTAGGATGCCCATGGATGCCCATGGGTGCCCCATTCTATGGCCATTCGAATTGATATCTTATGGGAAAAATCAGGACAGTCTGAGGCTAAGTTTGTTTGAGACATACGTGACATACTTACCTATTTTTGGTGGGGTAATAATTATATTTCACACCTCAGGTCAGCTCGTAGAAAGTCTCAACTGTGGCATACTGGATCTGGATCCAAAAAGCTGAAGGCCATCAAGGCCAGCTGGTTTCTCACTGGTAGCTATACATGGCCCAGAACCAGCAACCAACTATACTTATAGCACGCAATAATCATACTCGTTTGAAATCAGATGTTTTTATAAAGCGCTTGCGCAGATCGTACAACCCCGATCACTAATTCCCTGCGGCACCCATCGTTATATCATGTACCTGAACCCCAAATGAGGAATTTTTGGAATAGGTTCCCCTGCAGTTCATGAGTTAATCAATCAATTTTTAATCTCTGGGGTTCACCGTATACCATCTCCCCAACCATGCCTCAAAAACGAGGTCGGCATATGGAGGGATGACTCCAGGAGCGCCCTGTCTCCCGTACCTCGCTCTACTTGGGGGTCTTTGTGCCTGTTCTACTGCGTGCTCTGGACTGCTCTGGCACCCATTGTGCAAGGTTGTTCATAACAATGCCAAATTTCATCAAATTTCCATGTCTGAATTTGTATGAATTTGTGGAAAACAACCAATCTTTCAAATTCAACATAATTATACTCACAATCCACCTGCAGCGCCAGAACACCCCATAGTGGAAGTCGATGCAGGGCCAAAACAAGTTGTGACTGGGCAAAACTAACGTTTATTTATGTTGTTTATTGATTTAAATTTGCTTGTCCAGGATAAGATTCAACCCTTTGTATTTGATTAAAGCAACGAAATAATCAATCAAAATGAATATGAATCTATGAAATTAGTGTAAGTGCCAGAATTGTTGAGGAAAAGTGTCAGACAAAGGTTTGTTCTGGATTTCAAATCCAACGTGACGTGTCGTCTTTCAGCCAGTTCGGAACTCAACTTGACATGGCGTTGAATGTGGTTTTGTCTGCAAAGTCTTAACCCCAAATCCTTTGGTTAACCATCATGTTTCGGTGAAAAATCCTATAGTTTCAGACACACACGCACACACATATATATATAATATATATATTATACGAATATCAAACATATTCAAAAATAGTTTGCTAGTTATATCCCATTCTATAAATTCTTTATCTCATTCGGTATTCCATGACATGTCTCCCTGAATAGCTTGTTTTCTTAGTTTTATTCCACATATGACGTATATATCATATTATATATTCATATAATTATATATATATATATATATATACGCATAATATATAAGTATGTAGTGTGTATATATCTATATATATATAGTGTATATATATATATAATTTAAAATTATATCCCATCATATCCTCCGTTGGAATGAATCGTTGGTTCCCGGAAAAAGCAACGGGCGAATCCGCTCCCACCGGTCGTCACGCAAAGTCCGACGTGATCTCCAGCTTTGCTTTCTCGCCCAAGGACATCCTGATCACCTGAGCTGTGGATAAACCATGATAAACCATCGTTGAACGTTGACCGATTTCCGGGAAGGGGATATCATGGCTGTGACTCAACATACCCAATAACATGCTGTGGATATGTGCAGAAAAACAAAACACATGATTTAGGGTCATCAAGTAATGTTTTGGAGAAAACAAAGGATGACACATTTTTCAGATATTATATGGGCCATTTCCCCTAAAATTCATGGCTAATGGGCTCTATTGCTTTCGGCGGAGCCTTCATCGCCGAGCTGCTCCTTCATCCCAGCCGCGAATCACTTGGCCTCTGCCAACTGGAAATCGGATGGGCTGTCCAGCGCGTTCTGAAGAATCGAAGACTTGACCATTGTCTTTGAAGGTGCCGACGTAGTGCATCCTTAGTGCCACACCGGGTGTTACGCTTTGGCTGGAAAAAACTTGGCAACCCTCACCCTTTGAAAGACATGTTCCCTTATCAGTAATAATTTTTGGGCCATCCCCAATTTTTGGACAGGTATATATATATATATATATTTAATATATATAATATAGAATTTAATATATATATATCATATTCTATCACATGGACATATTATGTCCTGAATCCCAATCATATCCCCACAAGGTGGTCTCTTGACCCCAACTTTCGGAACCCGTCCAGGGCGGATCATAGCCGAGACCCAACTGAGTTGGTCATGGTTTCAGGGAACGCTGGAACTGGAACCCCCTATCTTTGATGGTAAAAACCATGCAAAAACCATGGTGTTTCCTGCTCAATTTCAAGGCTCAGCAAACTATCTCCTGGTTTGGGATATGTCTGCTTGTCTCCTTCCTGCCAGCATGGAAGTGCCGTTGGGTACGGGCTTAAATTCTCAAAGCCGAAAAGGGATGGTTGAAGAGGTTGAAGACTCAAAGCGAGAAAACTTATAGACCATATATAGACCATATCAAATATGCGATAACTAAATACCATATTAAGTCACAATATTTCCTTCAATTCTTTCCTGGATAAATTCTAATGCATCCTCATTATATACCCTCTGCTTATTTAACATAGCCATAGAAAATCCCTTATAAATGGAGGTTTTAATGGGAAAACCATCTATAAATGGGCCATTTTCCATGGCTATGTTAAATAACCAGATGGTAAATACCAAATATTGAGATCTTTTCAGCCTGCATCCTAATGCACGGAGATGCATCAGAAACACTTCCTCCATTGCATCAGGATCCTCTTACAAGCTCAGAGCGCACAAGAAAGCACCAAGCAATAGTCTCTTCGGCATAAAAGAAAACAGGTAAGAAGAACACCACCAATCGTGGTAATAATAGAAATATGTTATATCACTATTTTGTTTAACAAAATGGTGATAATAAGCAATGATGATAATGACAGTCATAATCATAATCATACAGAACGGGACTTATGTCCCTTATATCTATTATATAGTATTCATGAAATCATTGAAAAAGCGCACTCTGACAGCTTGAGGCTATCTAATTGTAATATTGACAATCCTGGTGATAATTCATAATGATTCTACAACTAATAATAATAAACAATAATATTAATAATCATCACCCTTCTCATGCACAATTCCTTCTACTTGGTCTTCGAACTACAAGGGATCGCAGTCTTTTTGGACGGCTGCCGCCTGGTGCAGATGGTTGATAGTTGAGTTACACCCAGTGTTTACTGGAGATACATAGATAATCAATGATAATCAGATCCATTCAGCTTCATGGGATATCATGGGAGATCCCAGCAATCATCTGCGTAAATCAACGTGTTCCCAAAATCATTCACCAACCTCAAACGGTTTGGGCATAGTTCCCATTGCTATAGCCGTGAGGTCCCAGCCGCCCAGCCTTGATGATCGTCTTTGTCACACCCATCGTGAATCTCGAAAAGAATGGCGTGGCAGCGACGACGCCGGGCACCAAGTTCAAATGGACAAAGCTCGCTGAAAGTCGATGGACATGCCATTTGGAGGATTGGGCAATATACATTTTGAAGTGTTTCCATGTGTTTCCTCACTTCAAAAGATTTTAGATCCAATATTCATGAACAAATGACCAATTCCTGGTTCTGTGATGCTTTTTTCATCGATCTGTGTTCACCCTGCCCTGCCCTGCTTCTTCGCCCGAAACACATCGACGGCAACACGACTGTCACAAAATCTTTGGTCAGTTCGCAGGACGTGAGTTTCAGAACAGCAGAACTATGGGATGAGATACCCTCCATAAGTTGGGACATGGGGCCCCGAAACAACTATGGTTATGTTTGGATATATTTTGGGATATAATCTGTTATATCTAGTTGTACTATATCTGGTAAATTTCTAGTATAACTATTTCCCAACTGATATGATCTGTTCTAAGCCACTTATCCACTTGTTACTGGAACAGATCATACCTATTGAACTAGAAATAAATTCTGACCCAAAAAAAAAACATTGCCGGCCTTTTTTCCCGGTGCACGACTCCCAAAGTAACAACTACTGTTTCTCAGAGCCGTTCTGGTCAAGTGGAATTCGGAGGAATAGAAGAGCGATTTTGGGGCTGCTTCTTCCGAATATTGTCATGTATGATGATTCAGCTCACCAGATCCATGCAATATGGTCCTGTATGGTCTTGTCTATGGAAGTGAGCTTGTCTCTTAAAGTCATTCCAATCATCAACGTTGGTATGAAACCTCACCCACCATGAGCAAAAATGAGGTGTTGTATCTTGATCAAGACACAACAAAACGCCAAAAAATGTGCGTGTTTGCAAAATCCTAACTCTTGGTCACTGGTCATTATATATACCATCCCACTTTTGCCAAATGATTGTTTGGTTGTCAATGGTTATTGTCATTTCCCGTATATTCCATCCCTATTTGGTGTAAAAACACCTGAAATTCCTCCAGATGCCACGCTCAACTGTCCATGATCTGCTTTAGAGAAAGCACCTGCACAAGCTTCAGGGGTAGTGGCAGTCTTAGATGGCCAATCATATAACACATTGGGTAAGTAACAAACATGGGCTTGTCACCAACAGTTTTATGGCTGATGGAACAAAACCAACAATATGATATGGAATATATTCCCATTATATTCACATTGCATTCCCATAAATGGTTGCCAACAAAACATCATGATTTACTGTATCCCGTAAAATTGCATCATACCCCAATGGATCCATATGTTCATTGCCAAGCTCCAACCACCAATACCAATACCAACCAATACCAATACCAATACCAAACAATTACTCAACTCCCCGTTCTTATTGAATCACCATTACATCCCCAAAAGTGTCTGATGCTTCTAATATTCAGCATCCCATAGTCCCACATGACTTCATCCCCTATTACCCTCCAGTAAATCAACATAGACCCTGGCCGATAGGGGTAGGAAGACTAGTTGTCATTAAAAAATGGTGATTTTCAGGGCAGGGTCTATGTTAATTTGCCAGGGGGTAAACCATGGTCTCAACGTTTCTGACTGGTCTTTAGGTTCAACAAAGGGGATCTTCACAAAAAAAACACACCGCACCTGAGCCTCGACGAGATGCAATTGCAGCCGACCTTCGGCCAGCTTTTCCTGCTCCTCCTTGCAACGCTCCTGCGCACTTCGCATGGCCTGGCCATGGGGCCATGGCGGATGGGAACTGATTGACCCAAAAAGTAGGGATTTTTCGAGACTGGACCTAACCATCGACAACAAAGGATCGGCAATTTCCCCACTAAAAACAGCATGAAAAGGTAAGCATATTCACCCAAGAAAAATTATTTAAGCAACAAAAATCAGGATTTCTCAGGAGTAATCTGATGATCTGATGTGATGGAAACTTAACGTTGATAATCGAACCACAAATATCAAACAATAACATACAATAACCATCATCATTTAGGGATGAACGAATGAACAACCCGTTCTTTTTGTTGTTATAAACTGCGTGGCAATCATTTCAGGCTTCTAAATCATAGGAGATACCCTGAAAGAATTTAAGATCGACATGGAAAATCCACCATGAATGTGGATCCTTCCAATAGGGAGTCCATAGGTCTTCGGCAAAACATGTTTCATTTTTACAACATGTTTCGGCTCTTGCTTCGGGTCAAACACAATTTTATCATATCGTTGAAACATCCGCAATGGTTTCACCATCATCCGCCATGAAACCGCCATCTGCACCGTGAAAGCACCTCTAGTTTTGTCACCATGAATTGAACGATTGAATCTGGTTGGTGGTTGAGCCCTACCCCTCTGAAAAATGTGAAAGTCAGTTGGGGTTACGACATTCCCAATATATGGAAAGTCATAAAAGTCATGTTCCAAACCACCAACCAGACATATTGTTGGTGACATCCTTATGATGTAGCAATTATTATATATCACTAGTATATATTACCATGTTTCTGCTTAAATACTCCAGACTACCAACCAGGAATGATCATTGGTTGGCACCATGTCTTTTTTCGGCTTTCCACCATGATTCCCATTCAACATCAGCCGCATCAGCCCAGCCTCGATGGCTTTGTTGGCGGCTTCCCTGGCCTTGGCCCGCTGCTGCATATGGATGCTGCCCTGTCGGATGAACTCCTTAGCAGTGCCACGGCGGTTTCATACTGTGGAAGGAAGAAATCCTGCAGTTGGTAAACTATTGGGATGATACACCATCTACCAACTGGTGCAGGATTTCGCAACCATGCACAGTATGGTTTAATATGGTTTATATGTGTTTATACAATATGGTTTTATAGGGATAATCATGGATATACCCTCTGGTTTCATCAAACGATGTGGGCCGCGGGAAATGTCCGAACTAGCCATGGGGGTTTCTAGCTTGGAAAATAACCTACAAATCGGGGATTGTGCAAGCCATGTTTGAGTACCAGAAGGTAAAACATTGGGATGTTCCTAAGAACAAATAGGGAGATGTCGGGGATGTTACCAACGTATCAAGGGTTTTGTGGGTGGAAAATCACCAAAACAATCATATTGATGCAGCCATGTCACTATTCACATCTCATAGAAATTGCATGGGTTCCCTAAGAAAAGGTACCCTCCCCTATTGTTGGGCCCTTGTGACAAGTGAATAACCCCTGAATCATAAAGCCTTGGTGAATTGCTTCGACGGGTGGATCCATAGAGTTGTGGATGAACACCCAAAGCTATTGCTATTGGGAGAATGCTACCCATGAAATCACGGATGTTGGGGACATTTTCAGATGACCCCATGTTGGTGTTTGGTATTTCGTAGTCCCTAGTGAGAATTATCATATTAACAAATATATATATATATATTAGTAATCTTATAAATTGTATATGATGAGCATCAGCTCAAAAAAAAAACAAATTCATTATCCCATATTTGGTCATCCGTGGTGATGAGTAATCCAACATCCCTCGTATCAACATCCCCCCATTAAGGGGCCCCAGAATGAATACATCCAATCAGAACCAGGGTCTTGTTTGTTGTAGCTATAAAATATACAAAGAAGGGATTACAAGGTCATTCTTAACCTTATTTAGGACAAAATCATCTAACTATATGGTAATAATATATATATATATATATATTTATATATGGTAATATCCCATCATCTAAGGTACAGTATATACACCATCATCTACCTTTTTGACGATTCCAAGTCACAAGTTCTCAAAAATCAAGGCGCAGCCATCAACACCAGTGTAGTTTACCCAAGTTTCCACCATCGATGTTGCATTTTTTTCGTGATTGAACATGATTCAAGCAGCATTGTTCCTTGCAGAACCCCCCATTTTCGATCGGTTTCGGCTACTCTGGGTAAACTATGGTGAAAACTAGTACCCATAGGATCCATGGTGCTGGTATATATGCTAACATTTGGGGTATTGTATATTGATGGGATCCATGTTACCATATATAGCAGCACCATGGATCCTATGGGGTATAGATGTGATAAAATCCATGGGGTTTATTCCAAGCTGATCATGTTGATCTACCTTCACGGCTCCACATCCTTTCCACATCGCCGCAATGCCAAGGCACGGCATGCTGATCTTCATGTGGCTCTCGGGCCGTATCATCAGCCTTGGGGCATCAGCAACGTCAATCAAGTTATGATATCAATGGATTATTAATACTATATTGCCATAATCAAAAATTGGATATTATTAGTTTATTAATTAATGGATTATGAATGGATTTATCATATTATATTGGATACATCTAAGCAAACCACTCTTATGGTCATATGAGTGGAGAATAGTGGAAAAATGGATATTCATGTTTTTTGATTTGCAATCAACTTGTTTGATATATGAATATTTAAGCAACTCTAGACTCTAGTGTGATATGTTGATAAATATTGATATTAGGGGGATGGGGTATAAAACACTCCTTTTGTTATAGACAAACCGTACATGAATGGCACGAAACAAACAACATGATTTGCATACGTATGATGTTTGGGAGACATCACAAGGTCATGATGTTGGTGTCATAGAAGCCCTCCAGTTCAACAACCCAGGGGCGTTTGAGGTCGTAGCATTTCCGCAAGAGTTATGAGATGGGGAATGCTAAAATATCCTTACATCTGGCGCCTTACAAATTCCGGCCTGTGCCCAGGTACAGCCTACCAAACAAAGGAGAGACAAGCAAAAAACATGAGAATCGATAGTTGCAACACCAAAAATCTCAAGGCCAGGTGAAGAATTATCAACTGAACTATTAATATTGGTGGGAGGCCCCATCATCTCATGTTCATTTTGCACTCTTCGTCAGGCAAAAATAATAGCAGAAGAGTTGTCTGCAAAGCTGCAGAAGACAACCAAGAATCACCGTAGAGCACCCATTGCCGCAGTTCCAATTTGCAAATAAGAAGCCAGTTGATCCATTTACCGATGCTATTTGAAGAGTGGGCTTCTGCCCATGGTTCTGATATCCCAAGTGCTTTAACAAATATCCAATGTGTGTCCCATGACCAAACCATATCTGAGGCCAGTGCATCCGCTTCTTTCTCCAGCTCCTATCACAGCAAGCACGTTTTTGAAACTGAGAGCGTGGTGGCTCCAGCCATTGAGCGTCTCTGCATAAAGCGGGTTCTCTCTCTTACTATATATATATATATGTATAGCTTATTGTATATATATATATATATATATATTATATATATATATATATATATATACCAGTAGTGCCCGCACGAGGCGGGGCGGAAGTTGCCTTAAAGATATATATGAGACCTTTCTCATCTATAGAACTTGCATGCGCCGTGCGCCAGCCAAGCCCGTGCGTGCGTGCACTCTGCGAAACTGGTGTCGTGTTTCACATGTCACACTTGAAGCCCCACGTCACACTTCACACTTGACAGTCTTCACACTTCACACTGCACCCTTCGCAGTCAACACTTCACACTTCTCACTTCACACTGCACTCTCCCCAATCCACACTTCACACTCCACACTTCACACTTCACAGTCCACACTTCACACTTCTCACTTCTCATTGCTTTCTTCACACTCCACACTTCACACTTCACACTGCACTCTTCGCGCCCCACGCTTTTTGGCTTCTTTTAAGCACATATCACAGATTGGTCTCTCGGGCTCAAGCCAATCTTTTTTCGGCATTTGCACAAAATTCGTTTTTTGGTAAGTTTGCGTTTCAAACTTCCCAGGCAACTGTGCTTTCGTCCGCTTGGTGCCAAACCCTCCTTCGTGACAATACGAGCAGTCTTGAAATTCAAGCTCGTTCAAAAAAGTATCGACTTCATTGACACGATGGAAAAAAGCCATGGTGCGGCTTTCGGCATCTGCGGAATTTCCGTACAGTTGTCGCAAACTCTTCGGCAACCTGGGCCGTGGCAAGTCATCTCCCAAGACTGTCTCCCGGCTATGCAAATTGGCTTCATGCGATTTCTTCAGCGGCACAGTGGCTGATGCTGGCAAGAGCTGTCCTAGGGAATTTCTCACCATCTCTTTCGTCTCCTGTCAGACTCGGAAACGTGCGTTGCATGAAGTCATAACAACAACGAAGTTCGGCAGCTCCTTTCATGGCGTGCACTGCAAACAAGGATTCAACACTTGCTGCGCCAAAGGATTGCAATTCTACTTTTCTGCGATCCAGGATCTGCATGAACGTGTCTACCGAATCAACTCCTGGAACACACAACAATGTTTCCCATTCCTGCAACTTAGCCTTCATATATATCTTCATCAAGGTTTTCATACCTCCGTCGCCAAAAATTTCGGCCAAATACATATTCTGGCTTACCTGTACGCTCAGCTGCACACATGAGTTGAAGCAGCGTAGACTTCTGCATCCCTTGCAACTCTTCTCTGTTATCTTCAAGAATGTTGACGAAACGATCGAACTCGGGCTGCGCAGCTGCATGCTTCACACATACCCGCCGTTCCAAATCCTTCCACTTTTCCTTTTCTTCTTCATTCAAACTCTCATATGTGTAGTTCTTCACAAAACGATAACAAATGCCTCCCCAAGTTCTGCTCTGTGAAACAGTCCAACTCATGCAGACATCCCGCAATGTACCTTTTCCCAAAGCCTTCATCTCCTCTACGTGCGCTTCTGCAGCAGCACAAAACTTCCGAAAGGCTGCTCGCACATCTGACACGCAGTTTTGTTTTTCCCATTCTTGTATCACCTGAGTCTGTTCGGCCGAAAAGGTTTTCTCAAGAGCAAGATACATCTTGTAATACTTCCAACATTTTCCGGTGCTTAGACAAGCTTTCAACGTCTTACATTCCAGCACCTTCAAAGTCGCCGCTTCCTTTTCGATGTATGACCACAGATCAGCAAAGGTCCCCGATTGCGCCATGGCTCCACCGCGTCTTAGGAAACGGGCCGCACTGCCACGTCTCCTTGCACACTGCGACGTCCGATATTATGAACATGGCTGTCTCATCATGCATGCCTTTCTCATCCACTAACCACTCCAAAACATGAGAAAATCTTCGTGTCTAACCATGAGACCTGAAGACATGACACCTCTGACAAATGCACGTTCCCAAGTCTTTCTTGCTACACATGTTTGCCTCCTGGAAAATGAAAACATCTGCGGCCACAACACATCGCCACCGTGGTTTCTAATCAAGAGTTCTATAACTTGTTCCTGGACATGAATGTCACAACCTTTACCTACATCAGTATCGCACACAAAACTCGAAATAGCAACCTACATCCACGAACTAGCTGACAAACTACTTCCCAGTACTACTTCCCAGTACATACTACTTGGTACTACACAGCTTGCACCCAATACTACTTTGCACTACAAAGCTGGCAAAAATTACTTCCCAGTACTACTTTGTACCACAAAACTTGCACAGAGTACTCCCCAGTACTACTTTGTACTACAAAGCTTGCACAAAGTCTTTCCCAATATACTACAATTTGCAGCTCCAAAACTGGATCTCGACGCCAAAGCGAAAAAAACACGATTTTGAAACACTTTTTAAAAGCAATTTTAAAAGGAAAATTATTAACGCCAAAATTGAACAAATCTGCTGACAAATCACTTTCGCAGCCTTGATGCAGCCATTCCAATACGATGCGATCTTCAGCTGCAAAAGACGAAAGTATTACGCATGCAGCCGCTGCACCAAGCAACCTTGACGCAGCCACTACAATGCGATCTGCAGAGACTGAGTTGCAAAACACAAGAAAACTACGTGCAATGGCCTCGGAAATTGCAGCTCCAAAACCGGATCTCGACGCCCAAGCGAAAAAAATACGATTTTGAAGCACTTTTCAAAAGGAATTTTAAAAGGAAAATTATTAGCGCCAAAATTGAGACAATCTCCTGACAAATGACTATCGCAGCCTGGATGCAGCCACTCCAATACAGATTCCAAAACACCCTATAACTACGCACACACAAGCACACCCAAAGCAGCTTGAAGCCACCGTGACACTGCGGCCACAACACATCGCCACCGTGGTTTCTAATCAAGAGTTCTATAACTTGTTCCTGGACATGAATGTCACAACCTTTACCTACATCAGTATCGCACACAAAACTCGAAATAGCAACCTACATCCACGAACTAGCTGACAAACTACTTCCCAGTACTACTTCCCAGTACATACTACTTGGTACTACACAGCTTGCACCCAATACTACTTTGCACTACAAAGCTGGCAAAAATTACTTCCCAGTACTACTTTGTACCACAAAACTTGCACAGAGTACTCCCCAGTACTACTTTGTACTACAAAGCTTGCACAAAGTCTTTCCCAATATACTACAATTTGCAGCTCCAAAACTGGATCTCGACGCCAAAGCGAAAAAAACACGATTTTGAAACACTTTTTAAAAGCAATTTTAAAAGGAAAATTATTAGCGCCAAAATTGAGACAATCTCCTGACAAATGACTATCGCAGCCTGGATGCAGCCACTCCAATACAGATTCCAAAACACCCTATAACTACGCACACACAAGCACACCCAAAGCAGCTTGAAGCCACCGTGACACTGCGGCAAAAAAAAAAACGATAAACCGACCGCAGCCGCAACCGTCGCACACACGAGGTACCTTTCATCGTCGCCTGCAGCCACTTTACACGGAAAAACACAAGGTTTCGTGCTCCGGCTTCCTCCCCAAAACATAGCCCATGCAACATCATGCAGCCATTCCAATGCGATCTGCAACCAGATTCCAAAACACCCTATAACTACGCACACACAAGCACACCCAAAGCAGCTTGAAGCCACCGTTACACTGCGGCAAAAAAAAACGATAAACCGACCGCAGCCGCACCCGTCGCACACACGAGGTACCTTTCATCGTCGCCTGCAGCCACTTTACACGGAAAAACACAAGGTTTCGTGCTCCGGCTTCCTCCCCAAAACATAGCCCATGCAACATCATGCAGCCATTCCAATGCGATCTGCAACCGGAGATTCCAAAACACCCTATAACTACGCACACACAAGCACACCCAAAGCAGCTTGAAGCCACCGTGACACTGCGGCAAAAAAAAAACGATAAACCGACCGCAGCCGCAACCGTCGCACACACGAGGTACCTTTCATCGTCGCCTGCAGCCACTTTACACGGAAAAACACCGGTTTCGTGCTCCGGCTTCCTCCCCAAAACATAGCCCATGCAACATCATGCACCCATTCCAATGCGATCTGCAACCGGAGATTCCAAAACACACTATAACTACGCACACACAAGCACACCCAAAGCAGCTTCAAGCCACCGTTACACTGCGGCAAAAAAAAAACGACCAACCGACCCCAGCCGCACCCGTCGCACACACGAGGTACCTTTCATCGCCGGCTGCAGCCACTTTACACGGAAAAACACAAGGTTTCGTGCTCCGGCTTCCTCCCCAACTCACCACTTCCCTTCCTCACCACTTCCCATCGTCACCACTTCCCATCGTCACCACCTCCCTTCGTCACCGCTTCCCTTCCTCACTACTTCCCTTCCTCACCACTTCCCATCGTCACCACTTCCCTTCGTCACCACTTCCCTTCGTCACCACTTCCCTTCGTCACCACTTCCCATCGTCACCACTTCCCTTCGTCACCACTTCCCTTCGTCACCACTCCCCTTCATCATCACTTCCCTTCTTCACCGCTTCCCTTCGTCACCACTTCCTTTCTTCACCACTTCCCTTCCTCACCACTTCCCTTCGTCACCACTCCCCTTCATCATCACTTCCTCAAGGTCAATTTCATAGCTTCTTATTCTTTTGTTATGTATTGGTACATTATGTATTGTTATATGATCTACCACCCTTCCTCAAGGTCAATTTCATTGCTTCTTATTGGTTTGTGATGTATTGGTACATTATGTATTGTTACAGGATCTACCACCCTTCATCATAGTCATTTGCACCAAGTAAAAAGTCATTCGTAACTCGGAAATTGCTTCCCAACTTCCTTTGATTATAGATATATATATATATACATTATGTGCATATAATATGCGTATGTGTACAGTATATATACGTATATATACATGTAAGTATATATATATATAAATATATGCAGAGAGAGAGAGAGAGAGAGAGAAAACAGCCATTACGGTAATCAGTCTGGCTGGAACATCCACCAGTTCGATGAGATTTCCCAGCTATAAACCTCCATGGGGAGTTCCCAGCCATGTTTCATGGGACTCCCATGGGAACAGATCTGGTACTGAACCAAGCTTTCTAAGGCTTACTGTATTCACAGGTGTTCACAGGTGAAAAGATTGCAGTATCTGATACAGAAACGTGTTGCTTCAAAATGCTGTAGCCTTCCAACAAGAAATCCAGCTAGTGTTTCCACCATTTTCCTTGCATCACTTTGGTAAAAGGAAGAAACAATGCATGTGTCAACATATTCCCAAGCCAACTATATTGGACTATATTGGATTGGATATTCAAGTATCCACCGTCCACCTATATTGGATATATGGATATATCATTGGATATTCCAATGTTGGTAAGCCGGTAAGCCAAACCTTCCAATGGTACCATCCCTGAGGAATCTTCCAGGCGCACAGCGCACCCGCATGAGGCTTTCGAGGTGAGCTATCCTCCGACAGCGGGCTGGGGAACCCCAGAAACTTGGTTAGCATATATAAATGAATATACATATTATGGAAACCATTGGTTATTGTGAAAGATATATTAGTATATGGCATACCAAATGGTTTACCCATGTTATGAATGGGCATAGTATAATTTGTAAATGAACATGGGTTGTGCCCATTGGTTATATAAATTATGCCGATTATATCAATCTCATTCAATCTCATTTAATCTCTACATCCCAGCTTTGCCTTCGATCATCCCATGATATATTCCCCATGACCCATCCCAGGCCAGTTGTCCTTGTTTTGGCCGCACTCGCCAAGCGCGGGAGCATCCAGGAGTCCTTCGGCAAACCCGGCCTCAGTGGAGCCCCAGAATGGTGACTTCCTACCGATCACCGAAGGTATGGCGCAGCTGAGAGCAGGACAGCTTCCCAAAGACCTGTTTTTTGTGGATGCCAGGTGCCAAAAGATCTTTGGCTGCAAAGCAAAACATCCAAAATCATCCAAAATCATCCAAAACTCCGTCATCTTAGGTGCGGCTCGCCGATCTTCAGACAGGAACTACATGGAACTTTTTCGATGCGGCATCATCTTTTCGAGTCATCGATCGAGTCATCTCCAAGGGTCGATGCCTCGTCCTTTCCATCTGAAAGCTTCGCCTGCTCTTCCTCCAACTTGCCATACATCTCCTAGCAGCTCCACAGCGAAAACAACGCTGATCAAGGACATGCGAAAATCAATGTCTTTCAAGACAATTCAAGGACATATTCATAAATATTCATGTTGAAAAAAGATATATAGATAGGTTATGATATGATAGATTTACATATTGTTTCCTACCTTTCAATATCAATAAAGATTATTTTTTTTTGAGTGGATAAACCACTGTTCGACTCCTGGAGCACCTCCGTCTTGATGTGGGACGCTGTCAGCAGGTACTCACATTTCGAGGTCTCAATCCTTGACGCGGTGACGTGGCGAACTAGCCACGAATCACAAGTAGGATCCCTGGTTTTGTTACTGGGATAAGTAAGGCTTCATCCACTTATACCCTCTGGTAAATTAACATACCTATTGAAAATGGCCATTTATAGTGGATTTTCCCATAAAAATTGTGATTTTCCATAGTTATGTGGGTTTACCAGAGGGTAACTAGGATTATCACCTCCTCAGAAAGTGGGATGAGCCACCAAGAAGTGATGTTTTTGTTGGCTTTCATCGACAGCTCAAAAGCACATAAATAAACACCAAAAGATTCCCAGACAAAACGTATGGGGTTATCTTGTATGGTATGGTGGTATGGATCATCTGAAAAAAAACGTATCAGTTGATTGGAGTCGTTATCCGAGGAAATATGTATATTTACGCGTGTATATATATATATATATAGAGAGAGAGAGCATCATGGGGTATAGATATGTGTATTTTAAATGGTATATCACAGGGGATATATCAATGGTTGTTTGTTTTTTTGTGGGCCTTGCAGCCCAGCCCGTTTTTTGTGGGGAAAATCGACGGGATTCCGGGAGGAAAAGAGACGTTTTGGTCAGGGCAACATTCAAGTTTTAAACTTCCTATCCATCACCAGTTGGTTTACAATATCCCTATTTTCGATGGACACATCACCATGTTTTGCTGGCTAAACCCGCAGTGGCAGAAACACAGAACTCTGATTTTTTTTTGGGAAAACTATAATTATAATATATATATATTATATCATATATATATATTATATGTATATATATATATACACATTGTATATCTATGTTATATGTATATATATATATATACAAATTATGTATCTATGTTACATATATATATATATATGTATATTTAAATAATATGATATATATATAAATAATAATATATATATATTATATAGATTATATACATTATATAATATATTATATATATATATATTATATAATACATATATATATATATCTTATATATATTATATAAATATTATATATATTATATATATTATATATATTATATATATTATATATATTATATATTATATATATTATATATATTATATATATTATATATATTATATATATTATATATATTATATATATTATATATATTATATATATTATATAATATATATAGTATATTATATATTATATATTAAATTATATTATATGTAATAGATTATATATATAATATATCAAATTATATATATTATATATATATATATTATACACAATTCATAGTTTTTGCTGCTGTGCATTTATGTCTTAATGCATATATATATATACATTATATGTCTATGTTATATATATATATCAATAATAATATATATAATATAGTATATAAATTATAAATATATATATTATATAATATATTATATATTGTATATATATATATATTAAACACAATTCATAGTTTTTGTTGCTGTGCATTTATGTCTTAATGCATATATATATATACACATATTTCCAATAATGCTACTTATCTATGGGTTTCATCTATCATTATTCATCTACCCTTGCCTGGAACAAGGAATGCATTGAATTCTGCTTGGATGCAGCTGAGTTTCTCGGTGGATGAAAGCGCCTGTGAACAGTCCCATTGGCAGCTGCCATCCCAAAAACATTTGTTCAAACGGAAATATAAACAAGTAAAGTGTGCTGCATGGAAATGAGCAAAGAAATGCTTCACAAGACTCTTCTGCTCTTATCACAATGGTGCCTTTAAACAAAGGATTGAATATGAAGTTGGGATGATTTTGCCACTTTTGAACGGGCGTTTCCATACGTCCGACTTGTCTTAGCAAATTGACCATAGGTTTAGAAAAGACCAAGTGCAAGTTATATTGTAGTATGATTTACTATTGAACCGACCACAAATTCGTCCGATCTTCAAAACTCCACCGGCAAATTCAGGCTGACGGGGGAGTTGAAAAATGGCGAATCGACACAGCTCCTGCGATGTTCCCCAGTATTTCAAAGCGAGACATTCGGATGTGCCGACTCTCCGGACACAACCGCTTCATCAAGTCCGAATCTTGCAATCATCCATAAATGAGGATATAATCCAACGATGCCCAACAAGAATCCAACAAGTATAGGACCCAGATAGAACCCAGATCCTTCTGCGGTTCTTCCCAACAATATACTATTGAGATCCATTAAGTATGTTGAAAACGCTAGCCCAAACAATACCATAACTCTAAGTAAGACTGTGACCCTGAAATTCACCTGTCTTCCAAGCCCTCGTGGCAGGGTCATATTGGTGTTTGGTATGTCACTACCCGTATCATATTACATGATCATCATATTTGGTAATCTCATGATTAACAATTTCATCAACTGATACTCAAAAATATCCCAGTCATTTGCCCGCATTTGACTCATGATAGTTCGGGAGATAATAATTCTGCTCGTGTCACATGATCAACCATCCCCGAATTATCATACCTGGAGATACAATCTCCATCCCACAGTAACAGTTACTTATGAATATCGTCAGTTATTATCCCATATTTGATAACTATTGCCAGCTCATGATTCCTCACGATTATATAGTCAGTTCATGTCAAAACCAGGGCAGATTAGTTGTCACAACCACTATTATGAGTAATTGATACTTAGTTGGGATCAGTTATTCTCAATATTCACCCATATACTTACTCCCCAACTGGCTGAATTGCAATAAACTAGCATGAAAATAGCTGAAACAAGCCCATCCAAATAAATGATCCCACATCTATTCTCCGCAAAATTGTCCAATATCAGTTATGATATACTATAGCATCAATGTCATAGCATAAACATAATTGGGGATGACTAATGGGACAACTCATAGTTATCATTGGCACATTATTAGTTTTCATGATTAGTCCCATTAGTTATAGTTAATGTTAATGTTATAGTTATATACCATTACCCACTAGTTGGCACTAATTAGTTATCAATAGTTATCATTGTTAATGATTAGTCCCAACTATTAGTTGATAGTTAACTATGACAACTATTAGTTATAATTGGACTATTAGTTGTGATAGTTAATGATTAGGCCCAACTATAACAACATCATTGTCCCGTTGTGTGACATCTAACCGTTTTTTTCTCCCATGATGAACATCGCCCTTTTTGAATCCCATAAGTTCCATCGATGTAGCATGAATGCTACCCGGCCTGGTAAACGTTTACATAACTATGGAAAATCGTAGAAAATCATCATTTTTAATGGGTAAATCATGGAAAATCGTAGAAAATCACCATTTTTAATGGGTAAATCAACTATTTCTATGGCAATGTTCAATAGCTACGTTAAATTACCAGAGGGTAATCATTAGAATCACTAATTTTCCGAAATATTGGACTGCTCTATGAATCAATTGGGTGATCTACTAAAAATTGGACATCTCACTAAAACGGTTGATTATATGATTTATATTGAGTACTTCACTAAAATGACTATAATGATGATCAAAATATCATCAACATAAAATATCATCAACATATAAATTAAAATTAGTTATATATCCCATATAAATCCCATATATCATTAAAATTAGTTATACATTCTATATATATATATCCCATATTTCCTCAGGGACGATTTCCCCAGCCGTTCTTGTTTTCTTCGCCTCATCCGCCTCTCTGCTCTTGCGCATGGCTTCCACTGCCTGCTTTGGGCAGCTTTCTTCCGATCAAAGGTCCGGGCAGCTTAATGTTAAAGAAATGGGGAGTTCGCCATAAAGCTGGAGAATTCAGCGATCATCTAATAAAAGATATGGGGCTAACTATTGAAAATGGGGAGGTCACTATGGCAACTATGGAGCAATGGACCTTTCATGGGGATTGAACCGTTTAACGCTTTAACGATCGAAATTGGTTCGCAAGTAGTAAGTCGCAAAAGTAGCAATTTTTGCGGAATCACCAGAGGAGACGATGCATGGGATACTTGTGTATCTCAAAAAAATGCATCTTCCTGTTGGTGATTGATCAATGATGAGAGCAATCCTCATACTCAGAATTATCCTCAATGTGGTGATGAAAAATGATAGTGATGACAATGACAAGCTTGTCTCCATCCTAAAGCTCATGATCATGATGGTAACGATCAGTGTTATAACCATGATTGTCAAAACGTATGTGAACATATATAGTTCCACACTGAAAACATTCCGTTGCTCTTCAAGTAGTTAGTTAAATGAAAGGCTTCAATTGAAACTTTCTTAAATGAGATATAACAAATATATGCACAAACAACATTTAATCAAAAAGCACACCTAATTGAATCTATCTTTCCGGTTGGCTGGAAAAACTGCGGTATCATTTCAGATCGAAAGGAGATGGGTTGAGCATCGTCCGTAAATGCATGGCTATATATAAAAATTACAACCATGACAATGAATGATATTTCTGGGTAAATTACAATATTTCACTAACCTGAATAGTTGGGCATTTGGGGATGATTTCCAATACTAACCATTATTCCAGTGAGATATTTGATACCATCTGGTTATTTAACACAGCCATGGAAAATCACCATTTCTAATAGGTAAACCATCTATAAATGGGCCATGTTCCATGGCTATGTTAAATAACCAGAGGGTATTTGTACCAATTATGCCAATGATACTCATGATACCGATCTTCATCCTCATCTTGGTCATACCTGATGAGCGATTTCGAACCTGATGAGCGGCTTCCTCCTGCTCTGTCTTGCAACGTTTCACCTTCAGCTCCTGCTCCTGAAAAACCACAAGCTGATGTGGTGATAAATTTGTATTTGTCTATAATAATATGTATATGTATATAAAGAGATGTATGTATATATATGTGGGTCACACATTCATATAATATGTATATATATATATATAGATATAGTTTTGCAAACGTCGTCCATCTTGCATTGGTCGGAGGCCCCATGTGTGTGTGTGTGTTTCATGATAAGGATACATCCCGTCTGCTCACACATCAGGATCTGGAAAGTGAGAAATCACCCAGTGATTTCCAATACGATTCATCGTTTTTTGGTCGGAGTTTATTGGTCGGTTTTAGGGTATCAAACTTTCCAGAGGATCGACTACCCATAATTCTCCAGAGGATTGTTTTGCATTCTTGGTAGTCGATGTAGTACATCAACAGATGATGCGGAAAAAAACAAATGGGTGTCTGAAAAGCGGATACCTCATGCGATGCAATAGTTTGAAGAATAACATATTACCATTCATAAATGCTTTTGGCGCCGCAGGGGATACCCAATCTTCAGACAGACCCATTGACGACCCACTCTTGTTGGTAATATTCCATTGGATCCCATCACATACCCATTCTGAACTCTTGGGTTTAGCGTCCAGTACTATCATAATTCTGATATACCATGATATACCAACTATAAAGTATTTACCCATTTTACATACCCATTATATACCTGTTAGGTTCCATCCCCCATTTTATATACCCATGACATATCCATTGCGAGTCAACGCCCCATGTCCTGCACAGCTTGCCGGGCCGAGGCGACTTTGGCCTGGAAGAGGGTCAATGAGTCAGTGGTATCTATGGGCGATGGGTTTATTTTCCATCCTGGAATGGGGACTTGATAGAGTTTAATATGGGGATCAATATGGATTAATGGGGATTAATGGGGATTAATATGGGGATTAATATGGATTAATGGGGATTAATATGGATTAATATGGGGATTAATATGGATATAGTTTAACCATCCTGGAATGGGGATTCATATGGATTAATGTAGCCAATGTACGATTAAAGATAGCCGTTTTTTATGGGCCTCCAAGTCATGAAGGGTTTGGTTTGTGGAGTATCTAGTATTGGGGTGAGCGGATAATTTAATATACAAGTATGATATCATCTGTATTGAAAAATGTATTTGAATTGTTTCCAGCTGATACAATCTATAGAATGAATCATAGGATACACATATATTAACATGTACCCCTAAAAACATTAAAAACCGATCTCAAGGGATTTGGAGGAATATCTGCTACAGTATCCCATTTCACTATACTATACAAATTGGCTGGTTGATAGGTTTCCCTATGAGTTGTCGAAATCCCCAAGAACCTGGGTAGATCTAGGTAGTAAAACTGTATTCAACGATTGTAATTTTTTCCAATGGTGTCGAAAAAACTTCTGCGACGGCCATCCTACCTCCAGTTGTCCCAAAGCTTGCTGTGCAGCTTGAAGATATGCATCCTGCGGAAGCGAATCCGCTTTTTCGCTACCCAGGGAAAGCCAACAAAAATCTCGAAGCGCCTTGGGATGATGATTCCCAAGTTGAAGGTTAACATAGACTGAAGGGCATGTTCTAAAGAAAATGCATGTTAGTCACTAACCATGCATTTACTTTAAAACTTGCACAACTAGATTGGATATCCAACACATCTGAGTTGCGACTGTATTGCCAGGGAGCATGGTAGTTTTGGTGGTCCACCAAGTCGAACATGTACTGTGAATTACCGTGATTTCACCAGGGCCTTCGAATGTCTAGATTCCTGTCTTGTTGTTGTGGATGCTTATCCAATACCAACTTCAACCGGCCAATCTTATCTTGGAGGCATGTTTACATATGAATGTAATCTGTATTTGATACTTGAAAATTACAGTTCATGACATGTCAACATACCAGCATCATCAAATGTGCCATGGTCAACACGTGGTATACCAGTGTACAATCATTAGGGATTCCCTCCAATGGGTGTAAGAACCTGTAAGAACCCCGAAAAATGTTGGTATGACCATCCGGCACTATTATAGGGTTTGTATCATATATATGTCGAGTCAACACTTGGATTATTGGATTACATAATGTGTAATTATATATATATATATGTAATCCAATGACCGTCGCATATCTCAATGAATCCTTGGCTCAAGAGTATACTCTCCCTTGCCGATCCCACCTCCGACGAACGGCCGGCCTGCCACCAACGGCTCCATTTTGGAACAGAACCGGCACAAAAGTCTTCAGAAAATTCACATTTCGGCTGCAAAAACATGATAAACATATCAAATCTATCTGGAAAAAACCTGATCTTTTCTTCAGCCCAAGTTGTGCCTGCCCGTTGGCATCCGTTTTTTCCGCCTTTCCAGCCTCTGCCTCTGGCTGTTGATTCCGGGTTGAAGGATAGAACCCTTTCCGCTGGTATGGGTTGGTTGGGGTTGATAACTGTTCTGATCCGTCTCCGAACAACTTCGCATCCAATCCTGATCAGCGACAATTTTGTGAAAAGGCCAGATTCGTCCCGTTAAACATGATAACATCAGCATCGACACTGGCGAAAAGCACCCAAAAGGGCCAACATGGGCCAACCAATGGACATAGCAAACTGGGTTTCATGCGCGAATGCTGGACAATGGCATTTCGTCGTCAGAATCTCTGTTTTCCGTCACACCGTTGGCTCGCTCCTGTATCCGTGGCAACGACACAAAATGATCATCTAGATTCATGAACTCCGAAGTTTAGTAGTAACATTTTAGCCCCTCCACTATTTCTAAATTGTATTTTCTAGGTCCCGGCTTGAGACATACCAACAGGATCGAGGCAAAAATTGTCCATGGAGTCAAGGGGATAGATGCAGGTTTTTGTTATACTATCAGTATTGTTATTATGTGTAAATAACATACAAAATAAATAAATAAATAAATATATATATATATATTAAAATCATGTAAAACCTTTATTTCTTGTGATGATAATGATAATGATGATGATGATGATGATGATGATGGGTGATGATTATGATAATGACGATGATGATGCTGCTGATGATGATGATAATGATGATGATGATCATCATCATCATCATCATCATCATCATCATCATCATGATCTGACTCACGATATTAATTCTGAGCAAGGCACGGAAACCCAAGTTGTTCTCAGCCCTTGTAGTCAAAGCTGTCAGTCAAAAAAACACATTTGTGTAGACAATGTGCCGATTTGCACAATAAAATGCTGAACAATCCGTGATGTTCCTGTTAAATTCAAATTTCTTTGTAATTTCGCCCTGAAATTTCAATGCAACGATGCTTGTCAATGTGATGTTCCATGATTCGTTCACCAATACGATGGTTTTCCATAATTTTGTCATCAAACAAGGTGAACCGTCCCATAGGTCGTCCCCTTAAACATTGTCCGTCCAACCCGGACGTTGCTCCACACTCACACTCACACTCGCAAACATTACTATCATCATCATCATCATCGTCATCGTCATCGTCATCATCCTCCTCCTCCTCATCATCATCACCTCCTCTCAACTTATCTTCAAAAGGGATCAAACATCCACCACCCCCTCTGACAAATATGCTGGCCGGGGTAGTGTTGAATGGGGTAATAACATCAACCGATAAATCGTATATATGTATATTTAATTTTGTATATTTACTATACAAATACAAATAAGTAGATGTACATAATTATACATATACATATACATATATATATATACATTTACATATGCATATATCCACACATTTACATATATATATATGTGTGGATCAAATATACATCTACAAGTCGAAAGTCCACCGATATAGCATCTCCAAAATACGCAACCCTTCCTCAAGTCCGGCGTGGAGAAACGTCAGGGTTGCAGCGAACATGTTGATTTTTCAATGAAACATCATATATAATGTCTGATTATAAGCGTAATATGCGTGCCAGTCTTTAATCAGTAGTGATGCAGTGTCCCATTAAGCAAAGTGCTGCTTTGGAGCTCCTGCACGCCAACTGGTCCTGCCGCAGCCGCTGTCTGCAAGTAGTCAATTTTCTGGTTGAACCAATGATTCTATGGCATTACCATGGGATCTTTCATGGAAACTTATAAAATATAACCGTTAATGGATGTATATATAACTTAGATAAATCAAATGATCATGGCATATATCTTATAAATGCCGTAAACATTATATGGATTAACTTTTGATATGACATTGGAAACTTAAAAACATAGTTACGTACATACATGTATATATATATATATATGTATGTATATATATATATATATGTATATATATATACACATATATATATATGTATATACATATATATATATATATATGTACATATGTGTATCACATGAACCATATTAAAAGGATGTAACTGAGGTTTAAGCAAACATGGGGACATACCGCAGAAAGGGGCTGTAAACAATAAGTAAGGCGATTTTATCACTTATCACGAACTGAGCAAACCAGGCTAACTAGGATGAGTTATTCAGGATTATCAATATCAATGGACTGGGCCATTGTCTGTACCGTCGAATATAATCAATTCCTGCAAAACACATTCCTTTATCCAATTTTGGTATATCAAATGTTTTCAATACATCATATATCATGAAATACAATGAACATAAATACATAATACTTATAGATGCTTATAGGACTGTAGAATCCAAAGGATTTAGGAAACAGAACGGGTGCTCATAACGATGTTTTCGTCTATACATGCAATGAAAATGAAACACTGTCAACACACAATATTTGGATTGTTTTTTCGGCCAAAATCACATCCTCACCAACACCTGCTCTCCAGAGTAGGGTTTACACTACCTAGAACCACGGGGATTTAAAAGGGATTCTCCATTGAAACTCGTTATTTCCAGAAATTTCACCTCCAAAACCATCACGACAATATATTGTTGATGGTTCTTTAGTTATAAACCTCAGTAATGACATTAAATATTACAGTATCAGTTATTGTAGTTATATAGAGTATACCAAAAGAAACATCATGTGCAACATTGACATTCCAAGGCCCAAATCTGCCCCACAGCTCCTTCATCATCGACGGTCTGCTTCCCTTTGATGCGTCTCATCTGGCACGCTGGACCAAGGTCAAGCGTCCCCCTGATTGTATTAATGGGGTATTTTGGATAGTACTGGGATGTATTGTAGAATCTTTAAAGCTGAAGGACATTTAGAAGTCAAAATTCCGACAATATGGACAGATGAAGCAGCAGAGATGGGAAGAGTCAGAGAAGAGAAAGAGTCAGAAGAGAAGAAGTCAGAGAAGAGAAAGAGTCAGCAGAAGAAAGAAGATCGAAAAAGAAGGTTAAAACGCAGGAAAAGGTAGAAAAGTAGGCTCGCGAAAGCGGCGGGTGCGGAGCCATCTGGCGGCATGAGAGATCAGCAATTGCATGTCGCTGTGGCTTGAAGCACATTTGGAAGTCAAAAGTGTTAAAAACTGACGGTCTCGGACCACTTTTCGAAGTTTGGATCTGGTCTCGCGTGGCAGGCGCAGTGGATTCTGCACCTCTGCGCCTTGCCAAAAGTGACGCAAACGTGAGGGTTTTGTAGCAATTGCAAAAACGATGCCAGGCGTGGGCCGTTTGAAGAGGACCTGCAAAGATGCATTTCGCCTGGCAGGCGCAGTAAGTACAAAAGACATCTCGATCAGATATGTCAGGAGGTCAGGGCGCGGATTTCCTGAAACGGGTTGCATTTTGGAGCATCAGATCTTAAGGTTTGCTAAGATGATTTCGCCTGACAAGTGCAGCAATTCGTACGACTTGGCATCACTTCTTTTTCGTGGCAGGTGCAGTCCTTTAGACACATGGAAAGCAAAAACGCAAAACGCATTGGCACCAGCCCGTCAGCTCTGCACTCAACTTTTCATTTTTGAAGGAAGTATCGCAGATTTGTTCGTTTTTGATGTTCTCAAATTTCGAAAAAATGAGGAAGTCTTGCAGAATTGCTTCGTTTTGGACATGACAACTGCCAACTTCATTCAGCTTTTGAAGGAAGTCGCGCACATATAAATGCTTCCTGTCAGATAATAAGATAGATAGACAGATAGATCGATCGAAAGATAGGTAGATACATCGACAGATAGATAGATATAGATAGACAGACAGATAGATAGACAGATAGATAGATAGGTAGGTAGGTAGATAGACAGACACATAGACAGACAGACAGATACATAGATAGACAAACAGACAGACAGACAGACAGATAGATAGATAGTCAGATAGACAGATAGATAGTCAGGTAGACAGACAGTCAAATAGATAGATACTACATAGATAGATACTTAGACAGCTTGATAGGCAGAAAGATAGATAGTCAGCTAGATAGACAGATAGATCGATAGACACATAGACAAATAGAGAGATAGACAGATGGTGAGATAGATAGATAGCTAGCTAGATAGATAGATAGGTAGATAGATAAATAGCCAAATAGATTGATAGAACGATAGATAGAGAGAGAGAGAGAGAGACTCAGAGCCTCAACCACCTTTCCGTCCATCAATTTTCTCTGCCATCCATGAATCACAACAACTCACCTCTCCTATATGTTTCCTATCTTTGAAACTTCCGCCACCGCCTTGTGCGGTACTACTGGTATACCTAGAGTTATATTATAGATAGTGATAGTAATCAACTATTGCTTGTATCAACTATAGTGGGATATTGATACACAAGATTGATAGATACATTACTGGATAATGCTACGATGCTATCACCCGGTTCATATTCCACATGCCCATTCTGTGGTCCCAACTCTGTGCTTCTATTTGTTTAAAGACACCCTGTTTTCTGAGGCAACTGTTGGTCCATATAAACGGGACCGTTTCAAATATCTAACCTCAGTTCCACTTTTAAATGAATAACTGAAACATTGAACATCATTGAACCACAATTCCATTATCATTAAAGCTCTGTTTATTCCAATGAAGAAACAGAAAACACATGCTGGGTGTCTCACAAAGCCAGCGATTTGCAGATGCCACCCGCACCTTCTTCGATGGTTCCGAAGGCGTCTCGTCCTGCGATGTATCGTTCCGTGGCAGTGAAACCAAAGTCTGGATCTGTTTCCGCAGATGTAGATGTCTTGTAATGATTCACACTGGTGGTTGAGCCCTACCCCTCTGAAAAATATGACTTCGTCACTTGGGATGATTATTCCCAATCTATGGAAAAGCATAAAAGTCGTGTTCCAAACCACCAACACCCTAAACAAAACCATTTGGGTAATCAGAATTGGAGATCCGAACTGGGGACCCACGAGCAGAAAAGGATGATTTTGAACTAAAATTCACCCAAGATCATTGGTTTTTGTTGGGCCAGGCATGGGGTCTCAGTCTGAGAAACCACTACACTACTGCTTTTCAGGATTGTATTGCAGATTTGTATTGGTAAAAAAACTCTATTTCTGGATTTATCTGGATTTATATTATTTTAATCCAGAAAGTTGTTTTTGCTGGAAAATCTACCAATCTATCAGATGTATTCATATGTGCTGCTTGGAGCTACATGCCCATATGTGCCCATCAAGCTTAATTCTGGGTAGACGCAGGACTGCAACCTGGCTAAACCATGGTAACCCAAACCAGAAATGCGACATTTTGAAGGCAGTTGCCCCTTACTAACTATCACAACTGGTGCTCTTTTTGTGTGGTGGATTGAGGTCTCGGATTGAAAGATACCCAGTTGAAATTAGATCTATGTACTGCACCAGTTTCACGGATCTCCGCATATCTCCGCCTTCTTTTCTTCCATTGTTGGTGCCTTTTTCATGGACGATCTGGATAAAAATTCATCACGGCTGGCAGCAACTGCTTCCTCCTGCATCTCATCTCCTGGAGTGTTCCCAGCCTGAAATCAGCAACCGTTCGGAGCAGGGGGTGAATGAAAAGTTGTGGGCTATGGCTGATTTAAGCAACAACGCTAGGAAATCAAACATAAACCAGTCAAAACTGGGATTGAAATACCCAAAATGGTCCTCAAATCCCAAAGCGAAGGCTCCAACACTTTAGATCAACCAAATGATTATCTGGTGAGGGCCTAATTATCCTAGGAATCTGCGAAATGAATAGATCACTGATTGATGTGTAGAACAAATCAGACACAATTCCCAATGTCACATTCTCAATGGGACGGGATTAATATCATCCCAAATTTTGAGGGGGTCCACATGGCATTGGGTAAACACCACACCACGTGGCATGGGGTATCACCAGAATTCCACACCACAAAAAAAGCCCAAAGCACCAGGTCATAATTCCCTCAGGTCTGTTGGTGCATGTTGGTGCCTTGCTCAGGAAATCCAAGAATTGACGCCACTCGCACAGCTGGACCTGGATCGGTTTTTTGGATTTTTTAAGGCTTTTCCAGCACTGTCTTCCTTCATCCACCGCTAGTACCAGTTGGACCCAAATGATGGGGTGCCAGGAATTTGATGATTTTTTTCTATACTGCAACTCTCCAAAAAATTGGGTCAATCACTAGCCATTGCAAAGGTGGTATGATGGACAGGTGCTTACCTGTTACTTATGTTACTTGAACATATTAAAAGATCCTGGCGCTCTTGGTAGGTGCCATTGGATAAATTCGAATCCTCAAAACTGCAGGCCCAGAATGGCAGGTGATTCTCTCGCTGCTTCCCATCCTGCGCCTGCAAGGTCACTGCACTGAGTTGCGCCACTGGGGTACACACCTCCGCTCGAATCAACTCCGCAGTTGGCTAAGTTCAAAAATGTGGTATACGCCAGCATATGGCAATTCTAAAGGGAAACAGGGGAACATAAAAGTCATTATATATATATATATATCATAAACAACTAATTATGAGTGAATATGCAATATTTCATTTTCTTTAAATAGATACACTTATTTTTCAATCATATGTTTTCCCATGTTTTCCCAACAAACCATTGGTTGAGACAATAAGATGCCACGGGGTAACAACAACGGTGGATCTAAGTGAAGCGATCCGCCGCTCCGCCTGATCCAAGATCAAGGGCAGGTGCGCGAAGCGTTTCTGACAAAGGCTTTCAACCTGGAGATCAGACACATTGCATTATTTTAGCAGTCACGTTTATTTAATATATATATATATATATATGTATATGTACTATGTTTATAATAACACATATGATATCTATATTATACATGATATGTAAAAATATATATAAATAATATATATATATACACCTCATCCAATGGTATCATTAGCAATTGCCAATGGTGATACCTAAGAAGAATTGTTCCCCACATGTGGATATCCTAAACACATTATATATATATAGTGTTATATAGTATGTATAATTTAATATAATATGTATATAATATATATATATATAAAGATGCGCCAGTAATGAGTATCTGTATAAATTGAATTGAAGTGTGCAAAATTGGGTCATTCAAAAACTGGCAACATGAGTTTTTTTTGACCAGGGAACGGATTTTAGGGATGAACTATTCGGCCCAGGGACCCATAACAATTTTGGTGATGTTTCTCCGTTTTGATCCATTTTGATCCATTGGAAAAGGATACATAATTAAGTTTGAAATAGAACCATTGGAAAACTAACCCAATGCCAATATTTGGAGATTTTTTTTACCCGGCATTGCTGTTGCATTCTTTTATCCCTCAACTATGTAAAATCACCACAAAAAAATAGACAACTGACGCAAATTCACACAAGAAACACATCTTTGAACAACTTGGCTATTTTATTCATCCTCAGCAAAATGAATATGGGTCAAAACCCTCGTACCCCAAGTACCCTAAAATCGATGGTTAATTGATGGTTGCTTCCCCAAATATGGGAAGAATAGGTTTTGACCCATCCCAAAATCAACCACAAAAATTCCAGGGCTTCTGACCTTCTTCAGCAAGCGCCAGAAATTCTGCGCTGCTGCCGCTTTTGAGCTGTTGGCTGCACGTGTGGCATGGCCCAACAAGTCGCGAGGATCCTCTTTTTGACCTCGGCGATAAAAACAGCAGCGTCGATGGGCCTTGGGATCAGTAACTGTGGTAAACCCAGAAGTTTACCAAACTCCTTCATAAAATCCTAATATTTAATTGGATGCTCTATTATTAGGTTTATTAGGTTTAATTACCATAGTTTACCACATTGACTGAGAAAAAAAATCCATGATTTAGGCAGTCATTAGCCAATTACATGCAGTTGACTCCCAGAGCTGTCGTAGATTCTCCCAAAGATCTGCAAGTCCAGGAAGGGTGCCACGTCGTGGAAGATGGTACCAGGATGATCCCGCTGTCTCGCGCAGTTCCACTCGTTTTTGTGGGTTATAGTCAGTTATAGTTCACCATAGTTGTAAGGATTATCTCCAACTTATGGAGCTTTAAATTCCAGAGTTCAAAAACCCACAGAACGAACCCCCCGACCACTCCCAGCCGCACCTTCAACAAACCCCCACCTGGTCACCGAGCTAAGGATCAGGCCATCGTTGAACAAACGCTGAAGAGCTTTTAATGCTCCCACGCCCACCTCGAAGAATCGCTGGCCGCTGAAAATCCTTGGGATTTTACCTCCCAGAAAACATCAACAAACGATACTGGTTGGTGGTTGACCTACCCCTCTGAAAAATGATGGACTTCGTCAGTTGGGATGATGAAATTCCCAATATATGGAAAAATAAAAGTCATGTTCCAAACCACCAACCAGGATAAATCTTGGTGTTTTTGTTTAATTCATAGTGTTCCCATTAAAGTTGCAAAGTTGGGGTGTACCGGTGTACCACATATTTGGACAAACAAGCGAACAATTGCACATGAAGTTCAATGAACATAGAGATGTTGATCTGCGAAACTGGATGCTATTTCATCAATTTCGCAGATATTTGGTATCCAGTCACATATGTGTTGATTCAAAATTTATACCCTCTGGTAATTTAACATAGCCTAGCTATGGAAAATCACCATTTTTAATGGATAAATCCACTATAAATGGCCATTTTCAATAGCAAACTGTTAGTTTACCAGAGGGTACTGTTGTTTCATCCCATATTTGGTCACCAAAAAACAACCGCAGAACTCAGCAGGTGACGTCGCAGGTACTCTCCAAGAGCTGCAACTTGGGGTAAGCGATGTCAATGCTCACCTTACTGTCTCCATTCCGGCGACGTCGTGATGGTGAGGCCGCTGTAAAAATTGATCCAGATGCGTATGATTCTGTATTCTGATTTATCAAATTAGAATCTATAAAGATTGATATTATAGGCTGGAGGTATATAATTATATATATATAGCTATCATTTTTGAACGGCTGCAGAGATCTTTTCTTCATCAACCCTTCACCATATTTCTCCGTTGTGTATGGCTCTTCTCTATGGATCTAGGATATCTACCCTCTGGTAATTTAACAGCTTTCTAAGGCTTTCTATTGATAGCATGGCCCAATCGAAATAGTGGATGACTACCCATGAAAAATGCATGGTGGATCTTTCCATCGTTTTTGGTATGTTTACCAGGCCGGGTAAATCTTCAAATTTTCTTAGTTTTTTCCCATCATTTTCCTAGGTTTTCCCAAGTTTTCCCATGATTTTCCTAGGTTTTCCCAAGTTTTCCCATGATTTTCCTAGGTTTTCCCAAGTTTTCCCATCATTTTCCTAGGTTTTCCCAAGTTTTCCCATCATTTTCCTAGGTTTTCCCAAGTTTTCCCATGATTTTCCTAGGTTTTCCCAAGTTTTCCCCATGATTTTCCTAGGTTTTCCCAAGTTTTCCCATCATTTTCCTAGGTTTTCCCAAGTTTTCCCATGATTTTCCTAGGTTTTCCTAGTTTTTCCCATGATTTTTCCCATGATTTCCACCAAAAGCACCAAGGACCACACCATCAGCATCTTGGACCAGGTGTCTCCCAAGCGTCGACCAGCTTGGATCGTCTTGGAGATCTCCTCCATTTGGATGGTTTAATGGATTTTTAATGGTGATTAATGGGGGGTGCAGTTGTTGTGTTATGGGTATATGGATTATTTTTTATCGCTGTATGGTTTTTGTATGGGGAAATCATGGTTCATATGGATTTTTAATGGATTATGAGTGGTGATTCATGGGTCATTTCTATGGGATTTTGACCTCTACAGTATAAGTTGGGATGTGATCCCTATGGTCATATAATCAACTTATTAGTCCATGGAACTGCCCTTCGAAGTACTGTAAAAATGTCTATGCATGGTCTCAGGTAGTCTATCCATAGTCTATCCATAGTCTGTCCATGGTTCCAATATTAGGTCTGTCTAGAGTAGTGAGCTATCGATCTACTTATCTGTCTACATCAACCGCTTACAAAGCTATTCAAGCTATTCAGCAGAGTATCCCAAGCATACAAACATCATTGGTACGTTGGGGTCCAATGGTAACTAATATGCAGAACCAGAAGCCGAAGCCTCACCGACCCACCAGAGGCATCCACCATGCAATGTGTGTGTGTGTTGCCCAATGGGAGATACCTATTGGAACTATTGGCACCAAAAGATGTGTCTGACTTGGCCTGAATTCATCATTTCCCTCATTTCTGGATCATATCCCATTTGTGGTTGACTGATTATACAAGTTTCCCTTAAAGATCCCGATTCAAAATTTTCAATGTCCCCAGGTGTTTTTTTTCCACCATAGTTAAGCATCATATTTCTGGTTGGTGGTTTTAGCCATCTTGAAAAATATGAGTTCGTCAATGGGAAGGATGACATCCCATTTTTTTAATGGAACATAAAACATATTTGAAACCACCAACCAGTATTTTTTTTCTACTCATCCAGAGTCTATCCCCATGCATGTGTTTCTTTTACGGGTTAACTAACACCATCCTGCCAGGCCACCTGAAACTTCTCCAGGCTGGTGAGCTTCTCGTTGTGGACGAGAGGCCATACATTCTCAGCCACCTGTTTTTGTCGCCAGTGGTTTCAATGGATTGGTCTTGCAATGGGAGAATCTGAAAACCGGAAACCATCGATTTTCCCATTCAATATGAGGCTATCTGAAAACCGGTTTTCCCATCCAGGCTTTCCCATGAAAAAAATCAGGCTTTCCGGTGACACAACTTTCCCGAAGAAACCAATCCATTGATGGTGAATATCTCCAGTTAACATCTGGGGAAGTCACTGGAAGTTCAGGATGGAACACGTTGGGATTGTGCGTTTTTTTTCGCCACAACTGCCACATCCTGAGAAACAAAACAACTTGGTCCGGCTGGACTTGGTCGTGACAACCCAATAAGGGTATTGGGATATACTGGGACATACACTTAATACACTGACATGTTTTTCTGTCCAATCCAATATTTAGCAGGTACATGCAGGTACTATTTTACTTCGGATGATTTTCCCATATGAATGTCAGGGGTGAAGCACATGGCTAGTTTGATGTGAAATCCAGGATATCGGGCGTTGGATCCATAGCCTTATCTTGACTTTTAGAAGATCAAAACTGGCAGAGGACGACATCTTCATCGAATTTATCGATCAATTTGGGAAAACACATTGACCAGTTGGTTCAACCCAGTCTGTTGTAAGATTAAATCTTCATGTTTGATGATTAAAACTTAATGCTTCATGGTTTGACCCCCTCTTGGAAGTGCAGTTCCAGTTATAAGTGGGTGATATGTCACCATAATTGTAGGGGCCCCATATGACCATATGCCAACTTATGGAGGTTAGAATCCCATAGTTATACCATGTTATACCCATAAGACCCCCTGGCCTGCACCAAGCTTCATTGTAGCTTGCTGGAAAATACAACATATTAGTTCAATGATTTTACCAGCTATAGACATATCTCCAATATTTATAGGGCAGCAAGCCAAGTTTGACTACACGGAAGGGTATCTCTATATTCATCCCATTATTAAGCACTGTTAAGGGATATGAACCATCAAATATCCATTAAATATTCATGAACCATCACCATTAAAAAAAGAAATACACATGTTATGGAGCAATATCAAGCATACGATAGCATATGTAGTTTAATGGATATTAACATACCATAACATATATTTGTTTAAAACTACTAACAGTGAGTTTTTTCATAAAAATTCAATGGATATTTACATGGTTATTTCATGGATATGTCACGCATCACGGTTATCACGTTCCGCGCCTCCAAGAGCGTCCGCGTCCGCCTGGCCACGTTCCGCGCCAAGTTTTCGTCGTCGTCCGGGCACAAGCGCTCCGGGATCGCCAGGAAGGCGGACGTCTGCAACGGCTGACGCGTCTTGCGCCGGTACCTGGAGTGGTGGATTTATGGGAAAAACATGGAAAAACCAGATGATATACAGAAATATAGAAAACATTTGGGGAATATGGAAAAAAACATGTTTAAAAACATTCCAATCTCCATGTTTTCATAGCCTCCGGTCATCAAACATTGCTAGAGAAGTGTTTGATTTTCATGATATTTATAGAGGATCTTCCCATTCAAACACCATGTTGGATTACTGGAGGGATCCGGAGGGTAAAGACCTGCAGTACCTGGAAACCCATTTTTTCACAAACCACCAGTGATTTCTCTCGGGCACTGGAGCATGGACCGGGTGACAGGGCCGTTGTCGGCAAACTGGCCCAGTGGATCCCTGCCGAAGTCAGCTTGGCTGCAAGGTTGCCTTATACCTGATGTTCTTTGGAATCCGGAAATATCATGAAATATCTGCAGTTGGTATCCCAGAATCTTAAATCCTGGCTAACAAAAGCTAACACAACTGTTCAAATGTATTAATTTAATTACTGTCTCCTTTACCAATCCACCGGTGCCTCCAGAAACGCTCCTGCAGCATGAGAGGCAGCTGCGCTTCCCGGAAGACATTGCTTCGGCAATGCGCGCGGAACCTTCCACCGATTTCCAGCAATTCCCACTAAAAATTTGGGCCCCAGGCGACCAAACGTTGGACACCAGGAAAACTCATTGGAGCCTAAATCATTGGAGATGAAGAGATTTAAACATCTATAGAATCTATAGGGTCGAAACCTCTTGAACATGGGATTTCATCTTGATTCAGTTTCCAAGTCCAAGTCCGTAAAGATCTTCCACAGAAGTTGTGCAGCAAACAAACGGGGCTCCGTGCACAAACATGGCCAGGAATCGACCTAGATTGGCGAAGCAGTCCAATGAGCAATTGCCAAGAAAAAACTCACCCTATTCATGGGGTTTAATGGGGTTTAATGGGATGTAGTGAAATTTAGTGATATACCCTCCAGTGGATTTAGCACCCAATTTTCTGGCAAATCGCAATTGGTTTTGGTTGAGGGTTTGGAGTTTCCTCATCCATGGCGCTCCTGCCTTGCAAATACTCGTGTAATCTCCACTCAACCATCAATCAAACAAGGGTTGAACTGACCACTGATCACTTCAGATGAACAACATTACAACATGTTCCTGATACAAATGTGAAGCGTCCACAAGATCAAATAGATCAAATAGATTTCAATAGAGCCTAGTAAGATTCATTGCAATACGTACTCACTCGTCCGTCCCCAACTAATGGGTAAAAGCCCTCATGTAGTGTTTTTTTTAAATATAGTTATAGTCTTCCTGTATGGAATTAATTGATATCAATTGTGTACTCAATCAATTATCTACCATTATCTGCAGATTGTTTGTCATTTCCTCAGGTTTTTAATACCAACGCCATGTGAGCCCAGCTGCGTTTCTCATCCCAGGGCAGCTCTTTGTTATGATGGATCTGCTCCACAATGAACAGCTCATGGGCTCCAAGGACCTTAAAGTCCGCTGAGCACAGCAGTACAATGTGAGGCCCCCCAGTTGAAGTTAAGTTGGTTTATAAAGGCCATGATATATAATAATATAATACATATGAATACTAGTTCGTTATCTCCCGCATAAACAGTCATAAACGATATTGATATAGTCAATTTGTCTATTGTTTGGGGGCATCGCCTTGTACTTACACCAATCTTGACGGTTACATGTGTTGCAGAAATGGTTAGAGCTCAGAAATGGTGGGAAAGTTTCAAGCAATAATGGCACAACAGGTCAAAATTAGATACCTCCTGGGCGGGATGTTACTCTAAATATGCCAATACCAGCGGGTCTTCCGTTTTTGTGACCCAGAGCCCGGGTCCGTCTTCGTCAATCCCAAGTTTTGTTAGTGAAATTCCCAAGGGTTTATGCTCAAGTCGGCAGTTTCTGTCGGTTACATCACCACTTACAAAATGGTCAAAATGCACCATTTTCATTGGCACTTCCAGGACTTCTCCAAGATCTCAAAGCAACAACAACTTCTTTCAGGACCTTCCAGGACCTTCGGTGCCCTTCGGTGCCATCCAGGCTCCCGGCAGTGTGGAAGGGCATCCATTTCTGCTTCTTCCCCAGGTTGGGTTGAACCCAGGTGCGAAAGCTCTGCCAAAGCCCACCCTGACGGGTTGGTTCCATCATGTATCATGAGACCATGACCATCCGGGAATGGAAAACGCGTTGCTATTGAAACTGGTCATAGACATAGTTGATTTCTGTTGATTTTCTGTATTTCTAGAGCTATGTTGGTTTACCAGAGGGTAATCTGTACTGACCGCATCAAAAGAAAAGTACCATGTGATATCCTTTTCAGGGCCCGTTTTCATAATAAGCCTGTATTTTCCCATCTGGTGATAGAACAGTGACATTTCAATGTATCAAGTAAACTAACATAGCTATCTATGGAAGCCATGGCCCCATAGAAATTGATGCTTTACCATTTTCAAAAGTGGTGATTATCCACTTCGCAAGCTCTTAGTTTACCATTTCGGGTATATATCCATATGAATCGTAGGTCTGCGCCAAGGTACTTTCTCGTTTGTGGTCTGTCTCAGGTCAAGTGTCTGTCTCAAGGATCCCCATTGAAAAGTTGTTTTCTCAAGATGCATCGTCCCCATAGCAATTTTAGCTGGCTCTATCAGTGTGACAAGTTTGGAGATATGGTCCGCCCTCCGGCAATGACTTTCCTTGAGCTTCAGACATGGCTGATTGGGCTTTACCCAGTGCTGGCTGATGAAGAGAGTTCCTGGTACTATCTGGTACTTAATTTGTGTTTATTTTTGATTGGTATGTCCTGGTGCTGAGGTTTCACAACTGGAAAATCTTAGATTTCTGATTTTCACTTGTGACCTTGGACCTAATTAGGTCGCCGAAAGAGGGACTTCGACTACAGTGTGATCGACATCTTCGGTGGGGTTGGTTCCTTATCGCAAGCTGCTGGCTCTGGGTTTGTGTTCGACGTTCGTCGTGACCCTCGTCACAACTGCCATGAGAAGGCGGGATTACAAATTCTTGGTGATGCATGTGCACGTACCAAGCACCATGGACTTGCGCTGTGCCAGCCGACCTGCAGCAGCTTTCTACGGTTTGTGAGCACCCATACAAGCAAGCGAACGCTGGACAGGTTGTGTCCAAACATGTCCAAACCATTTGTCTTCTGGACTGGGAAGTTTTAGCCTCGGAAGTTTTCAACATTGGACGGGGAAAGGGTGGGCAGTTTGGTTTTCGGTGTGGGCAAGTGTTTCACGACAACTTGCCTGGAATCCCTGAACCAGGAAAACTTGTATGGCGACGAGAGCATGGAATTTGTGGCTACAGGCAATGCAACAGCTGAGCTGGTTGCCACGGTCTTAGTACCTTTATGCGACTGGCTGGGGCTGTATTGGGTCTGTGAAAACCCCGTCACTTGGCAGATAGCTGTTTTCAGGAGGTCTTCCCCTCAAAAGATTATTTTGTTTATATGATGTGGTTAATCAGCTTTTCTACATCATATATAATTTATATATAAGTACCTAAAGACAATATTTTTGAATCAACCATGTATTTCATCATGAATATGATTTGTAGTTTGCAGTGTTTAGCAAATGTTGTAAGCAAGATTGATATCTATATATGTATGTATATTAGCTCATTTCTTACAATATTTAATATTTACATATATATATATGGAACAAACATGTAGAGATATCGTATACATCAAATATATTTATCGTTTTATCTCAAGACTGTGTCTAAATCTACAAACATATGTAATATATTTGACCCAATAGATATATGTATATACTGAATTGAAACCAATAAAACACAAATACTTATTCATATATACCCTATATGTTTATATTTCGATGTAAAGATATATAAGAGAGGGATATAAGCAAAAGCCTGAAATAGAGGGCATATCCACACTCACCCTGACTACTATTTATCCAGAAAACATATTGCCGACCTTTTTCAAAAACCTGTGGGCTGGGAATCCATGTGCCACTAAGATGAATTCACTTTTCTTTGTGTATCCCTCCATCGACGCTGTCCTACAAGCTCTCCTGGACACTGTGCCCAATGGTCAAATTACGAGGACCATTGTGTGGTTGCGGACTTTCGGTGCAGCTTCCGGAAAGCCCCTTGAGCTGCGAGGAAGGTGGGGTGGCTTCGTATATTTGCAGGAAATCCACCGCCGTGCTTGGGGTCCTACCAGGGGCCGTCGCACCGCTCCAATCATGGATCGCGGAAGCAAGCGTCTCGATGTTTTGGTCAGGTTGATGGGGATTTGAGCTTGTACTCTATCTAGCATTGTTTTTTAAAACACTCAGTGTTGAGACTTGGGATATCGCTTGCAAACCATCCAAGTCTAAAAGTATGATGGACAACACATTGATAGGCCAATTCCTTCACTTCGGGCACACATTTTGGCATCCCTCTGGCACGCATTTTGGCATTGTATCTGACATTATATCTGGAATTTGTTCTGACATTCTATCTGACAAGTATTTTGACATTGTATCGGAAAGTTTGACATATAGTCTATCTGAAATTCTTTCTAGAATACATATATTCTGACATTCTATGGGCATTGATTTTGACATATATCATATCTGGCATCCTATCTGACAGTGTTCCTGGCCTTGACCTGGCATAGTCTGGAATTCTATCTAGCTTGGTTTTGGACATTCTTTCTTGCTTTCTGTCTGGCAGTTTGCGTCCAGGTGGGTGGTGGGTGGACATATATAATATGGCATTCTATTTGTCATTCTTTCTGAAATTTCATTGGCACTCCTAGCACTTTGTCTGGCATTTTATCTGGTCTTCTATCTGATATTTTGCTTCTGGCATTCTTTGTAGAATTTCTTCTGATATATAATCTATCTGACATTCTCTTGAGAGCTTTCTATTTGCAATGGTTTGATTTGCTCGGAACGTCACAGGCTGGGTGGGTGGGTGGGAGGGTGAGTGGGTGGATGGGTGGTTGGCTCGGTGTGTGTGTGTGTGTGCGTGTATTTGTGGGATGCCTCTGTTAGAATCTAGAGACCCTCGGTTGGCAGGTTGTGAACAATTAAATCTTATCCGCGTGGTTTTAAGCTGATGCTTCTGTTTTTCTAGGTGGTTCGCATTTTTAGTTGATGAAAATAAAGGTAACTCACCCAATGCCCAAGGTTCTTCAAGCTAATTTGGCTGCAATCAGCCTCCAACAGCAGTGCTGCGACTAAAACACATCTTGTCAGATAGATTCTTGCTCTTGGCCCCCTTAACGTGCTAACTTCCTCCTGGGGAGAATATTAATGCAATATCCAAATGTGTCTTGTTCAGTCCATGTTCAGGTGGGTAACTGGCAACAAATCGAGATTGGCAAGCTCCAGTGCATATCCTCGGGCTTTTGGCGCGGCTTTGTGGAAAGCACATCAAGCCTACTTGGTCCCTAGACAGCATTGTCAAAAGGGCTTGGGCAAACCTGGTATTAGTCAGTCTTGTTGAACAATTTCTTTCCTGGAGAAATGACCTGATGTATAGATATCTAGGCTCATGAAACTTAACTTGTAAAGTTTCAGCTCGTTTCTGTTTTTGGGACTGGGGGAACCCTCCATCTGAGGCGAACAATTGCAATCTGGTTCTGTCTCCAGAAGTTATGCACGACCTGCATGCCTTCGCTGATGACATGGTTGGGAATCTGCCACCCGAGGGCGAAGTGGCACTTCCGGACTGGAGATGCATTAAACATGTGCAGACATACAGTGATGCGTTATATATTCATATGTGTGCTTTCTATATGTATGTATGTATGTATATATATATACATAATCATATACTGTTATTTATTTGGAAATACATAGTCATGGATGCTTTGTTTCTACCTTCCCCCTGAAACGATATCATACGTCATTGCCAAGAACAATTATATACATGCATTGACCTCAACAAACATTTTGGATATTAATGGTGATACCTAAATCGGGAGCATTACAATCATTATATAATGTTTTTCAGTGAGGCACCACAAAATTCGCCAGGATGGCGCAGAGCGGTTGCGCCCCTATGAAGCTGATCCTGGGTGGAGGAGAAGTTCCATTGCCACATTCGGTGGTACTGCTGGGCAACTTCCAACTCCCACAGCCAAGGTTGGGTTTGCAATGACAATATTGTTTGAAGCTGGTGGGTCTGTGGTTTTGATGCTTTCCCACCTGAAAGGTGAGAGGGTCTTTAGATCCCTTCCTGCTTCCTTCCTTCCTTCCCTTCCATCCCTTCCCTTCCATCCCTTCCCTTCCATCCCTTCCCTCCATTCCTTCCATTCCTTCCATTCCTTCCATTCCTTCCATTCCCTTCCACTCCTTCCTTCCTTCCTTCCTTCCTGGCTTCCATTCCTTCCATTCCCTTCCATTCCCTTCCACTCCTTCCTTCTTTCCTTCCATTCCTTCCATTCCTTCCATTCCTTCCATCCCTTCCATTCCTTCCATTCCTTCCATTCCTTCCATTCCTTCCATTCCTTCCATTCCTTCCATTCCTTCCATTCCTTCCATTCCTTCCATTCCTTCCATTCCTTCCATTCCTTCCATTCCTTCCATTCCTTCCCTCCCTACCTGCCTTCCTTCCTGGCGTCCTCCTCTTTGTCCTTCTTCTTGCATTATTCTCGGCTTCTACCCGCATCTATCCGCATCTACCCGCAAGTGCTCCAACTGGGCACGTTCTTGCGAGCTCCACGGCAGCCTGGGCACGCCCACTGGATTTGCTAAGTCAGGCACGGACCCGAACTCTCTGCACATGCCAGAAAGAATGTCAGATAGAATTCCACAGAGAATTTCAGATAGAATGCCAAAGAGACTATCAGATAGAAAATGTCACATCAAATGCCAGGCAAAAGTCGGAAACTATGTCCAGTGATAGACTGGCAGATAGAATGCCAAAATAGATGTCAGATAGACTGCCAGATAGAATGCTACAATTTCTATGTCGGATAGAATGACAGAATATTGGTTGGATAGAAAGTCAGATAGACTGCCAAATATATATATGTCAGATAAAATGCCACTTAAACTGACAACATATATGCCAGATGCCCGTTGAAACGTCAGATTGTATGTCGGATAGCATGCCAAGATATATGTCAGAAAGGAATGCCAGATAGAATGGAAAAATGTCAGGATATACGTCCGATTGAATGTCAGGTATGATGCCAGGGAAAATGTCAGATAGAATGTCAGAGAAGGTGTCAGAGAATTGCAAATAATATGTAACAATATATGCCAGGATATTTGCCACTGTGGTGATTACACGAAGGAAGGTAATATTTTCGTTATTTCGTAGCTACTGATTCGAGTCTCTGAATATTAACGATATATTTTCTGGCCCATTTTGGAATCACACAAGAGCGTACACTTGATTTATAATTTAATGTGCTGTATCTCTTTTGTTGGATTGAGCTGGTGGTCTGAAGTCATTGGTGGTTTGATTATTTCAATGTATTGTCTATATCTGCTGTTGGCGCCACGCTCTAATGACAAGTTTTTTGTTTGTTTATTGCACCCCTAAAGAGGAATGTCAGACTATGCCGGTCAATCATTGCTGCCGTTGTTTCTGCAGCCGAAGGCAGCAGCTGCGCCTGCTTCCTCTACGTCCGCGGCATCTGCATCGAGTTCATCATCTGCATCGAGTTCATCATCTACTATGGGGCCTGTTAGTGCTTTTGTGAATCGCTTTCTGACGCAGGTTGGGGACCCTGAATGATTCTGTTGCCTTCCTTTTTGTCATTAAATTTGGAGCATCTGGGTTTCTCCAGGATGGCACAATTTGATGGCTGCTTGATCTATGCTTAATTTCTAGATTGGTGGTCAAATAGCTTTCAATTCTCTACTTAAGCATCCGTTCTTGCTCTTGTGTAATGTAAAGGCAAGGAACAGAGTTGTGTATGGCTTAGTGTGTTTCCACCGATGATCTTGCGCACCAGGCCCGCAAGCGACCAATCGAAGATGTGGACGAAGGAACCACGGACTAAAAGATGCTTGGCAATGCGGGGTATGTGCGCAAGTGGGCCCATTTGATAACGTATCGGTTAATCGAATCACACAAAAAAAAATACTTGATTGCATTTTCCTATGAATTTCGATGCTGTAAAGCTGCCAGATTTGTTGTCTTGAGAAAACCGCGTAGTGACACCACCCAGAATTGAAAAACATGCAGCCTGCCAGTGGTGGGCCACCTCACTCCTGCACTAGGATTTGTGGAGCGACATCACAGCCGGATTTGTCTATGAGCTGGAGGAGGCTGATCCTTTTTCACGAGCCTTGTTCCTGAGGTAATTCGAGATGGCAACTTCATGGGAAAGTCAGATGGCATTTTGAAAGAGACGTAAGACTGTCAGTGGTCCATCTCTAGTAATTATACGTGTGCTGTTTTCATTGCACTGTGTAGCTACTTGCATCATAGTTTTGCTGCCTCGCAGGAGCTATGGTCAATGGGACCAGCAATATCTTTTGAGTTTAGCAGTGTTACAGTGCCTTGGCAAGGGAAGCGAGCACATGCTGGAAACTGACATATACTCAAAATCAGGACTTGAAGCCGAAATACACGTCTAAAGTCTTGAGAATAAGAATCACAGAAAGATTTTATGTTGAACTGATCTTGGGTTTCACTTGTTTTAGACTTGAAAGAATGTGTCAGTAGTATAGTCTCACCTTAGCTCCCAGGAGGTCTTCAAATTGAGGTGGAAACAATTTTTGTGCATTCCGTCTGTTATTTTGTGTCATCTTTCCATCCCAAGACTGGACCAGTACTATGGAAGCACACCAGTTTGTTTGCTGACCTCTTGAAACCCTAGGTGACACCGCTATGCAATGAGTGGCGCTCTACCTGTGAACCTAAGAGCCTACCGTTTTGCTGGGAAAGTGGGGGTTGGAGTGGTCTTTGGTCTGAAAGGTTCTATGTTGAAACAAGTGTCTCCGTGCTCTTTCACTGATTTACATTGATTCTTCCTCCCCTGAATCAATTAAAAGCCTTCAAATCCAATGAGCCCAAGATTATCGTTGTGTCTCCTGCTCGAAAGGAATGCAATTTTTGTGCTCGCTATTGTACTGTCTTGTGGGTTGGATTGGCAAGTTTGAAGGCAGTGAATTTACTGTATCAGGCGTGTCTCGCCCAGCCGGAGTGTCTGCACAGCTCCCTCACCACGGGCCCAACAGTGACCCGTTGGGGTGAAACCAACAAGACCAAGGCTACCTTTAAAATACATGGAAGGTGTTTCACATACTTTTTGTGTGTTAGCATCACCAGTGGTCAGCGCAGCATGCCGCTCATGAGTTGGTGGGCATAATTGATCCTAAAAAGTTGGAAGAGTCCAAGCCAAATTCAATCATATTGACAATTGGGTCAGCTCTTTTGGGGGCACATAGATATCTATCATTCGTGACAGAAAACAATTTACTACGACATTCCCCCCACTGTAGTTTTTGAAAAGATTACATGTACTCGTTGGATTGTGTTTTCTGTTGACGATGTTGGAGCATCCTGCATTTGTTGTGCAGTTGTGTGTAGCAAGGTGCGAAGTTGGTAGGTTGAAAGGTTTGGGGTAAATTGGTATATCTGTTCAAAGCAAAGCAGCACAATTTTCAAACTCTTGGAAAAACAGATTCAATTGGACATCTCAGGGGGTTTTTGGCTCGGAGTGTGCCAAAGGATAATTAGTTGGTGGGGATGGTTGGCCCTACTAAAAACCCTGCCAAAGAGTCCAAGCCAAAGGGCGCAGCGTCTAGCACCACCGCCCCACCATCTTCAGCCTCTACCATGGAAAGTGCTTTGGACAACTCCGTTCATGCGATGAAGGCCGGTCACTCATTGACAATTCGGTTTGCTTTTTGGGACACATAGGCACCCACTATTACGTGATAAAAATACATTACTACAACATTTTACCTCACCTGTAGTTTTGAAAAGTTTACATTTACTCGTTGGGGTTTCCTTTTCACCTCCAAGCAGAAAGTAGCAAGGTTCAAAGTTGGTAGGTTGCAAGGTATTTATGGGGTGAATATGGATGGATGTTGTTTTCAAGATAGATCAATATGGGGTGCACTTGGCCTCCAGGTCTCCATGGCCCAGAAGATCCTGCAAGAAAACGACCCAAAGAAGACGAAGAAAGACAGAAAGAAAGACAAGAAGAAGAAGAAAAAGTCTTCTTCTAGTAGTGATGACTCGACAGGGTCTGAGAGTGTCAATTTCCTTGACGACCTTCAGTTGCAGTGTGGCCTGAAGCCCAAGCATATGAACTTGAAAGATCTGGTTCGGCTTGATGACCTCAAACCAGTAGCTTGATTCAATGCATAATTGAGGCCATATTTTCTGTAATCCTTCAGGTATGCACTATATGATGGAACGTCTAGTCAAAACCTCAGGTGACCCATACACACACACATACATGACTAAAGATGGTGATGTTGAAACTTGAAACACAGGAATATTATAAGAGGAGTAGCAAGGTACAGTAGAGTGGGTGATCCTCAAACAGTGTTGTCACTTGTGGAAGCAACAGCTACCAGGCACTGTAACAATGGAAGGGTTTGTGCCTTCATTGGGCGTTTTTAGGTTGCCGGTTCCCGGACCCATCGATTCGCATTCCCTCGATTTTGGAAGCTTACCCATACAACAATGGAAACCCACTGATTGTGATTGTTTTGGCAGTTCACCACTTACTTTTGGCTTCAGGAATTTAATGGGTTCTA